TACACATCCAAAGACAGAGAGAGAGAGAGAGAGGGAGAGAGACAGTAAAACAGCTGTCGAAGTCGATCGGGTCGACCTAGCCTCGGTCGTCAACTCGCTTTCTTTTTCTTCGCCTACAAGCGTTTGAATAGGGGGCGCGGGAAAACTACTTGTGTAATGCGGCACGCGTAATACCGGAAAAGGCCTTCGGGTAGTTCTAGAGCGCCGCCAGAATGGGGTCGCTGGAGTCGCGTTTTAGTTGCCACTTTACTATTGAAGACTCTTAACACTAATTTGATGCAAATATTTTCATAAACAAGAAAACTACTACAGTTTACTTATTCCCTGGTGTGAGTGAGGGTATACATTCAACTCTAGAAAATACGCTGGTCAACGAACGTCAAAGAGCCGCCGATGTCTAGAGTTTCCTTGGATGGGTGGCCGACCGATCGGTGGTCATAGGGTGACGACACAAAGGGGGTGGTAGGCGGGTATCCGTGTCGGCCAGTGAGTCAGTGTTACCGGTGTTACTTCAAAGATGAATTATTGCCCTCGGGGAATCCCGAGGTAGGCGCGGCGCCGCCAGCTCGACACTTGTTTCGGTCACTGGTCTTGGTTGATTGTTTCGTTTTCGTTTTACTATCTTTTGATACTTTTACATAAACGATATAGCCATGATATATTACTAATGAAAATTCAATAAGTACATTGCACACTAGGATAGTTCATGAAAACAGTTGTTACTTAAATCGTTTGGAACTCTGGCCACGTCTATATTCTTCATTAGAGTGAACTTAACTGCAGGCTATTCAATAGACTGTGAAAAAAAAACTGTGAATGATTTTATGTACTTGGGTTTTTTTTACCCAAGAACACAGACTTACTTGAGGACAGTTACACAATAAAACGCAAAGATCCACGGAAGTAAAGACTACATTATTTAGTAAAAAAAAAAACAAGGATGCGTCAGTTAGGGCCAGTTAGACAATTGAAGTACACAGAATTGAATCACCATAGTATTGTCAGTGCAACAACGTGAGAGGATAAAACATGTACTTCTTCAATTATAATTGCATGTTTCTGTGTAAAACCGAAGACGTCTACAGACCTTACTAAGAAAAACTTCTCCCCGGTAACACAGGCAATGGGAATTCCTTCTAGACAAGGTTTTAATAGGCCTACAACAAAATCATAAAACAAAAGATGTTTCTCAGGCTAAGTAGCACACCGTGCACTTCAGCAAATAAATAGTTTACCGAGATAACTATTGCTTACCAAGACAGCAGTGTCATTTAAGGAGAAATAGTACTGTACAAACTAATGTCACCAAAAGTCTAAATTCATTCTTTATTTTATTTTTTTAAGAGAGGGAAAAATAGACAACAAAGCTTTAAATAACCGGTATTATCAATTTGTATTTATCTCTCAATTGAATAAATGTAACGGTAGTTACCTCACCACTGTTCACAATATTTGATCCTCCTATTACATAAATATGTTAGTTAATTTAATATTCAAACTCGTGTACATGTTGCTCGAATTCGAGCAATTTCAAAGTATTACAGAATTTATTTCAAAACGAAAAAAAAGTGATATTCAATGAGTTAAAGAGTCAACTCAAAGATCACCAGTGTGTAACTGCTGGAGATACTCACGATGTATATACAGTAATTAACATTTCCTGTAAATATTTTATCATATTTCATAAGTTGGTATTGCTTTTTAATGTTTCTACAAATGTTTCCTGACTTATAGCTGCATAAGGTAGTCCATGTTTATCTTATTTATTGATAAACCTTTGCATGGCACCACCCTTGTCGCCAGCAGTAAGTTTACAAATTTCAGTAATTTTTTAATAAAGATAAACACTTTTTTGATCATATTAAGGACTTCCTGTTGTCTGTAACAATTTTATTTGTTCAATCGGCGTATTTTTATTTATTTAGCTAAATAAAACATTTATTTCATTGAAGTAAACTAATATAGGCCTATTTATATTCACTGTACTGTGTATAATAAAATATCGATTGAGAAACAAACAATTACACGTAATAAAAAAAAAACCTCGCTAGTCCGCTGCATTGTGATAGCTGAAAATCGTCGGAATGAAAACCGCCGCTACAAGATACAGAAGTTGGTACGCCTGCAGTGCCCTCCACAGCTGCGCGCGCCGCTGGCACTGCCACTCAACACATCCCCACCTAAAAGACGAGCAAGTGGTAAGTCGGTCGGGAGGATTGACGACAAGTTGGAATCTCGTATATAATAATTTAGATTTACAGGCCGGTCAACTGGACTGACGATGAAATAACTTGTCGACGTACTGGTTTTCAGTATTTATCTATTTAATTAAAAAAGACGGTCTAGTGGCAAGACGACCAAGTATCTTGTCGGTCAACTGGTGGCCCCCCGATTGGTTGTTGCATATTCAGTTTATAATCAGGAGATCACCAATTGAACTACCACTATAATGGCATTTCTTTTTATATTGCTTTATTGTACCATAGCTTTGGCTATTGATGGATACACTCCATCACCATGTTAAAAATTGTTTTAGGTTTTTTAACCAAGATGGACATTTTGAATTTGAATTCAGCCATGACAGTGGGCTGATGTCAATTACTAAAGTTTCTGTCAAACATGCCAGTATTTTAACCAGGATGACTCATTATAAGCTTTAATCTTTTATCTCTCAACTATTTTTCATCAGTAGATGGGACTACCGATCAGTAGATGGGGTGCATGCTCTGTACATTTGAGTTTGAGGTTAATTTGTGTATTTGTTATAGTTGTAGTGGTTATTGAGTTGTCATGGCCGATACCTACATGAACAATGAAAGTGATGAACCCGTGATAGGAAAGGAGTATTTCTAGAAGGTAGGCTAAAAGGTAAAAAAGTTTGATAAATGAAGCAAAAACAACATTGAAACTTTTTTGGAACTGTATGAGGGATACCCTTGTTTATGGGATTATAAATTGGCAGAATATAAAGATAGAAATGTTAAAGAAGAAGCAAGTTCCACTTGCAAAGGTAGATGTCTACAGCTTTCTTGTATGTTAGGTACAAATTTTACAATCGATTTTAACTAACTTCTAGATGTACTAGAGAATTGAAACTTGAAACATAACTCACAAATGGATGACAATGCATCATTATTTCATTTTGTTTTCATATTTACCTTTGGGCTACCCCATGGGCTTCCAAAATTTCAATGTTTACATTTTGGAAGATTGTAAATATCAATTGAAGTCAGCTGTAAATACTTTAATTTGACAGTTTGTTCAAATAGCTGAGGTTAAGAGGTACAGGTTCTGCTCCCGAGAGATTCAAAAGTTTTAGGATTATGAGAATAGTAGCAACAACATCTGATTACAGTTGAAAAGGGGTTGGTCATGTGAAATCTATTTGATATAGCCTGTTAATAAACAGGCTATATCAAATAGATTTCACATTAAGACTAAATACCCCCCGCAGCAAACCTGCAGACTAAGCGAATTTCAACTTGTCTGATTACATTTTTATTCAAATACTAGCCGTACCCGCGGGCTTTGCCCCGCTTAACTTCATAAGTATTCGCATGGCTCAATCACGTCCTGGTTGAAGTTCGTTCGCCACGCTCACTCACCTTCAGGTTGAAAATCGTTCGCTGCGCTCACTTGTTTTCAGGTTAGCTCGTTCGCTACGCTTACTCGCCTCCAGGTTGATGTTCGTTCGCTACGCTCACTCACCTTTTGGTTGCAAATTAGCTGTTGTCATAAATTTTAAAAAGTCATCCCTTTTATTGTTTATAAACTTTGATAAAGGTTTAATATTTAACATTAAAGAATTTAAACGTTGTTAAGTGCACAGGTGTGCTGCGATTGGGGTTTAATACATTTGGACTTATTAAAAAGTAAATAGTTTGCTGTGCTGCACTCTGTAGAAACACTGTGGCACTATTTCAAATCATGACTAATGCTAATACAGAATGTTGTGATTATTCAAACCTACAAAACAGTTGGTGAAAGTAAACATCTGCTTTTAAATTATATTTATTTGTAAACATTGTAGATCAAAAAGTCTGACATTGGCCCACTTAAAACCCTCTAGGGCAGAGCCCTTTTGACGGATCTGCACCAAACTTCACTTGAACCATCCTTGAAAGATGCTTAACAATGCCTGAAAGTTTCATTACAATCTGTCTAGCGGTTTCGGGGTCCATAACGTATATACACACACGCACACACACATACGTACATAGTTCCTCTTTTATAGATACGAGAGGTCGTCCAGTGGTCGAAACTCGACCAAAAATATGTAATGTAAACTTACTCACTTCTCTATTTTCAACCCACACTGTAAATAAAACATGTGATTGAAGTTTCTTCCATTTGTTTTGATTTTCTGTTTATATTTCGTTGTTATTTCGTCACCAGCATGGCAACGCATAAGATCCATGTTAATTTTTTCAAATTTTTAAACTCATATTTTGTGCTTATCTTTGAGCCTATTTAAATTTATAATGGGATTCTGCACACCTACAGGAAAATAGCTTTCTAACAGTATGCGTAGATTTACCCCACGATGCACACGAGCTGAGAAAAAAGGTTTTAAAGAAACATGCTTGCCTATTAATATATAGATAGATAGAACCTTTAAAAACCCTACAAGGAATTAATTCTTTTTTCTTTATTCCATTGAAATGCAGATGAAATGTCGAATTCAAAACAATTAATTGTGAACTGGACTAGACTAGGAGTTTTGATAAAATGTACAACTATATATATTGCAGTTCAGCATTGAACTTATAAATAGTGGTTAAATAAGATTAAGATTTTTAACACAAATTCCCCTTCTTTTTCACTAGCTAACACTCATGATACTGTTTTAGTAGTTGTACACTTTGAAGGTATTTCAACTCATCTGATGTGTACAATTCCTTCTTAGCTTTAACTGGTTATTATTCTAACTTGGTCCGATAGGTTAGTTTAATTTTTCACTTATTTTCACAAGACAAAATGTGATAAAATAAAACATCATCTTTCATCAGCACATTTGTTTTATTATTTTAGTGATTCCGTGTTGAACATGTGACTAACGCCACTAAATAATACTGTTTAGTAATTAATTATGACGATGGCCACGGTATGGAGTACAATACAATATTAGGCGATCCGCATTTGTATAACAAATACTTACATAAGCTTAACAATCTGGTTACGTAGATATATACATATATAAATATATGTATATACGAAATAATAATATGTACATTGTGATAAATAAATATAAAAGGAAGAACATTCCTCGAACAACAAACAATAATTAATTGGTGACAGTGCCTAGCTAAGTTTCGAACGTAAAATACATGGAAGTTGGACCTCGAGAATGTAAAGAACACATCGGCGAGCCTGTCAAAGAAACAGAACAAACAGAATAGGAACAGGCTACAGTTACAATGATCCCATCTGGTAGTATACATCTTTATATATTTCATAGATATTTCGATAACTGCGGAACAGGTCTAACTGACGATACTGGCTAACTTTCAAACAATTTACAAATGTACAAGGAGTTTACAAAACTTGTTTTCAAACACTAAATCGGTTTTGTTCGATCCAAGTAAGAAATATGTTGCGAATTTACTTAGAACAGTAAACTCTCGATAACAGTCAAGTCTGAAACGTAAAATACTAAATACAAACGGCGGTGAAATACAAAGAGACAGATAAAAAAGGATCTACCAACCTTACAGCGTTAAATTAAAACAGAGATTATCGTACAATTATTTAACATCTTACGAATTAAATAATAAAATGCGAGCTACAAAACTGTAAATCCGCATTATAAAGAGACGTTCTACTATACACATAACATTCGTAACAGGTTATACATTTTACATATCTACATAAAATTATAGTACAAATACCGTAGGGCAATTCTTATTTGGATAGAACACACCTTAACCTATTATATATATTACAATTTGCGTAAGAATGACTATAATCAGCAACAACTTTGGGACAGTAACTAAGACATTTGGTCGCTCGCAGGTAACATCCAGTCCTAACTCTACAACCGTACAAAGCTTACTACAGTGTACCCGCGACAAGCTCATCATTTACAATATTTCTTTTCAAGAAACGGTCATTTGAACAAGAGTTTGTCAAGAGTTATTAGAAATGTACGATAGCACAGACAAGACAATATAATAATACACATAATAAAGTTAAAAATCATAAAATTACGCAGCAAATAAATAATGCAATATTAATATTAAATACTATATAAAACACTTGAGAAAGCCATATATAATGATTGTTGTGCAGGAGTCCTACTCTGATTGGATTAGAAAAGGATTTTTACAAAAACCAATTTTACAAAATGATATGATATTTTGTGCATGAATATAAACAAGTTTACATGGATAATGGTTATAGTTAATAATAACAATAATCAAGATGTCTTTTGAGAAGCACCATAGAATATTTTTTTCATTTTCTAATGAAAATGATTTCATGTAAATTGGGTTAAAGTTTAATCTTTTTCAATGAATAAAAGAATTAAAAACTTATTATTATTTTAGAATGTCACTGACACAAATGAGTGCAAAGTAAAAGGCAAATATGAGTGAAACATGACTGTTGAATGAATAAGACGATAGGTTTTTTACTGACCAATATCTGCTATTTCTTTAGCAAAAAAAGACGGAGTAATGTTTTGAACCATGAATAAGCTACTAGCCTTTGTAAAATTAAACCAGCAACCATAATTACCAGGCGAGAACAATTTTACTAAGATACTATTTTAATTTGTGTACCTACGCCATTAGACGCATTTAATGATTTTTATAAGTCCTGTTACTATCTATCATCGACCTTTTTGTAGGGTACCATCGTTAATTGATGCCCATACAAATGGCATCAAGGTCCCGTAAAGATCTCGCTTGGTATTGCACCAAAGTACTTCAGATTTCAAGAGACACTATAACCACTTAAATACTTATTAGCTGACATTTTAACAACTTTTTATTGAACATTGTACATGACTTTCTCAATATACATAATCCATAAATGAAAAATTACTAGTGACTTAAACTTGAATAAATAATACAACATTAATAATAATACTAAGAAGAGAAACATTAACCAACCAGGTGGTTCAATTACAAAAATAATTTCAATTTTTCTCTATAATGACTTTAAAATTATGTTTCAGCAGAAAATTTCTTCTTAGGATTAGTAAGAGAAAAACAATGATTATTTCATAGATAAGGAGCAAACACATAACAGAATTGATACAATTTAGTGGCATGTTTCCACTATTCCAAAATTAATTACACTGCCAAATACACCAAAGGCAGAGAAAATCTCGCCAATTATGACTACAACTTCAGAAACTTGCAACGGGTGCAGAATTAACTGAAAACTACTGGAAAAACAACCACCTGGTTTCACACTAAAGGAATGTCAACAGATGAAATAGACGCGAACTCGCTCGTCGTAAGATATGATTGACAAGCGTTGTGGGCTGGGCTAGTTATTGTACTTGTTTTATACAGCTATCCAGCCAATGGCACGGGGTACAATTATTAAAGCTGTCGATCCTAAAGGTAATTGAAGGTTTAGAGGTAGGACTACATTAGACTAGGAAACAGTTAGTCTCTCAGCCCCTGGTACGACATCTTAGCAGTTCACTCCTAGTTTCAGGGGCGTAAAAGCACATTTACGAGGGTTGGTCGTAGTTTACCATATTTTACGAGTATTTACAGAAATACAAACGATTAATGTTAGTAGATAGTAAACGGGTGAGAAAAAACTATTAAGAAGTTTTAGGAAAATTTGTATCAAGTTTAAAAATATGTTTGGATCAAAATTAAAGGTACGAAAAATTGAGGCAAATAAAAAAAAACTAGCCCTTCCTTATGTGCAATATTTTTTATACAAAACTTAATACAATTTATTGTTTAGGTAATACGGTAGAGAACACAATAATATTGTCATAATTTGTCAACGAATAACGATAATTATTATCACATTAAAACATTATTGTCTTTTAACCAACTTATATCCTACCGGGGGAATGGTTTCGAAAGGAAATTCGCTTAGTGAAATCTAGGATTGAAATCTAAGATGGTAGACGAAACAGTTCGCAAAGAAAAGGACTTTGCGAGAGTAAAAGTTGTACTTTGTCAGTTCTATTTGGATGATACGAGATTTACACTATCAACGTCTTTACAAGTCTTGGCTAACACGTATCTAACCGATGACGTTAGTTATTGTCGGGGCTGAGAGCTGAGACTAGGTTTGCCGAGTTTACGCGACGTAGTATCAGGACTTTCCCATCTCTGAGTCCATGCGACGCTCCGTTGCGACACTCAACAGGTTGTTGAACTCGTGCTCCAACACTTGCCGAGCCTTAGAAAAACAACACAATATTTTGTAATCCATGAGGAAAAAATCACTCTCTTTTTAAATAGGTAGGTATAGCCTGTTTGAATTTGCCCGTACACATAGGCTTCAGCCTGCGCATGGAACGTATCCAGCAAAGCAAAGAGGTGAGCCAGTACAGTACAAAAGATACAATTGTACTGATACAATTAAGAGGCGTGCATTTAAATGCAAACCTTCAACATAGCGCCATGGCTTCGCAGTTCATTACACTAACAACTGAGCACTGACTCACACAAAAGCAATTCACAATAGTTAGCTGAAAAATATTTGTATAACTAAATTACATAAAAGTATTTGAAGATTTAAGAGAAAATGTCTCTCTACTGAGCTAAATCCAAGTCACAAAGCAGTTTAGGTCCTGCCTCACAAGTGCAGGTCGAACTACCGTATTCTCGAAAGACTCATTGACTATGCATTACATTGTTTTAGACTTCATCCCCTATTCAAAAGACTTGATTGTCTGTTCATCTTCATCCAAACTGTCTACCCTCAACCTACCCCAATCTCAAAGTAATTAAACAAATTAATTAATTGGTTTCAAGGAAGGTTCGCTCCAACTACTGTTAGAACTGTATTGGCTATAAAGAACCTATTACAAATTCTATGATAAAATCTCAATAAATAGTAAGTAGAGAGGAAAAATATAGAGTAAAATTATCAAAATTCATCGTAAAAAAAATTATGTAGGGAATTGGATCACTTGACTTCTTCACTGTCGCCATTATATTTTACATTTTTAAACAAAGGGCCAAATATTCAACACGATTATCAGAAAATAAACAGTTTAAAATTTACAAGAAGGTTTAAAACCAGAAAATAAATGAGCCTTGTTAATCAAATTATTAGTTGACGATACCTGTGTATTCTGTGTTGGTATCTGTAGTGCTAACGCCATGCTGTTTGAGTCAAAACCTTCGTCTAGAGCTATCAAAGCTCCATGAACGCCAGACTCTAGTAGATTTGTAGCATACTCCTAAATACAAACAAACAATAGTTTTAACTCACAATATTGACAGCCTAATTTACAACAACAACAAAAGTAGCTTACGGTTTGCTATTAAAACGATTTTGTATTAAAACAAAATAACTGTAAAATTTCAATTTCAGAGAAATGCAATTGCTCTACACTATGTTAATCAACAAACATTTTTAGTCATCCACCTAAAACAAGCCTTGGTTAGTGAAAACACTGGGTTGAATGGACATTTTCTCATAACACTTTATTTTTATAAAATTTGATAATGATACTCCGAATGGCTGTACCTTGAGCCCAATGCAGGATATCCAGCGGATGACCCTGTCATTAGACCATACAAGCACATCTTGCAGCTCGTTGTCTGAGGCTCGTCTTCTCTCCTCCAACTGCTTGCGGTCGTAGTTAAGCCGCTTCAGACACGAGATTCCAAACTGCAAACTTGTCCTGAAAGTCGAACAGAAATGTCAATTGACCAGTCAATCACAAAGTCTACCTTGTAGCTACACCACACAGCATTAGCATTGTTAATAATGATTGGAGGGATTTGAACTCAGGGCGTTTAAAGCAGTTTAGTCCTGCCCTCTAACCACTGGGCCAAAATTTAAGATTTTAATTTTCATAACTCACCAACTGAGTCTAAAACAAAAAAAAATCCCAATTTTTGTAGGTTTTGAGATTTGAGGTGTATTTTTTATCAGTAGTGTAGTGAGGCAGGAATGGATGGAAACGGCAACTTCACTCTGCTTTTTACCAAGAATCATATAATTATCGATTTTCCTCACAAGTCATAGCTCAACAATAACTGAATTGGTTTAAACAATTTTAAATAGCATTCAAAATACATCTCCTGCGATGGCATTGAAATTGTGAGCGTTCCTTACTGTCATGGTTCGATCATGAAGTGATTGCAGTGAAATCATGATAATCTCCAATGTTCAGGTGATGGTGAGCGTTCCCATTCTGGAAAATTTACGTCTATAGTAATTAAAAATATGCCTCAAAATAGGCTACAAGATGAAATTGAACTAACCTATGAAAACTATCAACCATCTTTAGTTGACCACGGAGGTCTTTCTTGGTGAGATGATCAAGCATGCGTGCGTCCACCAGACACTCCATGAAGGTAGACCTGTACTGCGGCAGACCCAGCGACAGCAGCCAGCTGTTGCCGATCCACTCGTGGTTCATGTCTCCAAACGCTAGCGTCGTCCTCGACGTCTTGGGCGCCGATGGTGATGTCAGCGACACCATCTCTTGGATCGCCAATCGTAGCTTCAGCCGGTGCAATGGATTACTGGAAACAAATAATCAATGTGATTCAAATTACACTACAACTGAACCTTAAATGAAAAAAACGACTCAAAACTACTACGCTTTTATACTTCTATAATTGTTTGTTGGGAATAATTTATAATATACAATTCTTTGTTTAAAGTTAATTTTAGTGAAGGTCAGTTTATGCTATTTAGGATGATGTGCGGACACTTTCCGTTTTCATTAAGATAAGTTATAAAACAAAGTATTTCCACAAAGTTAAGGAATCTGGAATCTGATCCTGAAAATAGTGAAAACTTTGTTTTTCACTAACTATGATGGAAAATGGCTGCAGTAATCTCTTTTAATAGGAAAATGAAATTGTCGGATAATTTTGTCAAACATATGCCATAACCTAGTTTTATCAGCTTATAAGTTTGAACAGTGCCAGTTTATGTTGCTGCAATTCTTCCTACACCTTCCTTCAGAGGCCTTGGAGCCAAATAACAAGTTGGAATATAATATTAATTGTAGATTGTCCTTTTGTGTACTATCAAAATAATTGTATTACATATATCACCTGCCATAGTACTTTTCTTGGTTGTCGATCCATTATGTTTGCTCAATGTTTTATGTATTCCTTTGAAAAATAAGACATTAATTGGCTAATGATTTGACTGATGAAAAATCAAAGATGAATACTTATAATTTGATAGATTTCACTTACACTAAAACTTAACCTATGCATACGTTACCTGATGCCAATTTCCCGCTGTATCTCCGTGTCGCTGAGTGCGCTCATGATCGCTCCGCTCTTGACGTTAGCTCGACACGCAGCTACATACCACGCTGGCATGCCGACCCACAGCTCCAGCCACGCCACGATCGTCGGACCGTTCCACAGCGCAAACGGCGTGCCGGCCTTCATAGCCTCGGCCAACAGCTCATGTCTGTAACACCTGACAACTCAGTACTGACTGATCTGCATCTCGCATGGACATGCTGCGGTTTACAACTACTTAGGGAGTCAAATAATTTCACTTGTGGTTAGTAAAATCTTGGTCTTAAAAGAAGTTGGTTTTTAAATTTGTCAAGTGATGCAAGCGTTACAAGTGAAGATTGGAATGGATTCTGGATCCAGGAAATATCTTTTAACAAATATAACCTATATTTTAGTTTTCATCTCCACCCCTGAGGGTTGCAGGTTCGATAAGCTAGATCTGAACCCATTTGAAATTCATTGACCTTGATGATTCCACTGACAAGAAAGACACCAAAGACAGGTTAATTGGTTTGTTGTACATTGTGTGTTCTACAAATAGTTCAAAGATATTTACACTGAAAGTTTTATCCTTAACTAGGAACATTCTTTACAAACATTACCAATATATTGTCGCCAAGTCCCAGTTCCTTGAGCAGGCTATAATAACCTTGGGGGGTCTTGACTTTTTATTCACCCTGGGGTCTTGACTTTTTATTCACCCTGTATATATATTATATATACAGGGTGAATAAAAAGTCAAGACTCCTCCCCCCCCCTCTAATATTTTTTCAAAGTAAATGTACAGAGATATCTTTTTGGTGGTCGTGCGATCTTAGCAGGAAGTTTCATTTGGTGATTTTGAAATTTTTGAATGTCCTCCCGAAATGGGGGGGGATTTGGGGGGCAACTCAAATATTTTAAATGTAAACCCCCTTCAACTGACATCTTATTTGAAGTGTTCACAAAAACTTGAAAAATGGTGAAAACTAGAGGTCGCTATCTCTTCTCTATCCAAAATGGTAGCCAATATTACTATTACAAACCAATTTTACCATTGATTTTTCACAAAATTTGACGTGCTACCATTTGGGGGGGACACTCAAAAATTTCAAAATCATAAAATGAAACTTCCTGCTAAGATTGCACGACCACCAAAAGGATATCTCTGTATATTTACTTGGAAAATATTAGAGGGGGGGGTCTTGACTTTTTATTCACCCTGTAACTCCAGGTACATTATTATTTTAGAGTTGACACATAAACAAATGAGTACATTAATCAGAGAAATAAAACAAAAGACATTTCTACTTACTTCTTCTTTTTCCTCCTGTCAAAGTCACCCTTCTGTCCGATGCTGCCTCCAAGGCTGAGTGTGTCGCTGGTGTTCAGGTCTATTTCTCCGTACGATGTTGACATCATCTGTGATGGATCCAGCACTCCCACCTCTTTTCCCTTGACCTGTAAAACAATGAATTTTAGTAACCACCTGATATATTGGTAACCAAGGAATATCAAGCCACTAAAATTGTATATGAGCGGTGAGGTATAGGTTGACATTCCATTTTTAAATCAGCCTGAATTTTAAACTCATTTTTAAAGTATTCTAATAAGGAATTTAAAAATAACTTCTTCCTTTATACCCCAACTGCCGCCCTAAAACTGCCACTGACGGTTATGTTTAGATTCTATTGGGGCACTAAAATATTTTGGTTAAACATTACATGGTAAATTCATGCGACTACTTATAATCTTTCTATCGGATTGTACAAAGTAGACGCATGACAGCATTCAGCCAATGTACCTGTAATTTATTTATGTATGAAGTTATTATTATTTTCTGTTGGCAAAATATGTTTCAGTTTTGGTATTTGATGTATAGAAGTTGAATAAAATTGTATTGCCAGTAAGTTTAAAGCAATCCACATTGCTAAAAATTACTCATGATAATATCTCCCACACACAAAATTTTCAACAGAGGAAAAAACTGATTCAAATTCTTTAATTCATCACAGAACAGCAGGATTATGTGGATGGAGTATGACAGCCACTAACATGTAAGTAATTGAGTATTTTAGGGCTCGCTCTTGTAGTCAAAAGAGGACGCAGCTTCCATTCTGTCAAAAGTCAATAGCTTTTGATGGTTCGAAACCAGGACCTATTGTACTTGATAATAAGGCTTTTGGCTAAAGAAGCATATGGTATAAGTCAGTACAGCTACACAAGGCATCTCAGAACATTCTACGCTCATATTTGGTTTAAAACAAGCAGTTATGTTCCCAACTTAAATGGTAATGAGAAATAGTAATGGATCAGTTGGTTTACAATAGAAAATATCAACATTGATAATTCTCTGACCTAAGTATCAGCTTTGACAATGCATTATTCATTAATTTAACATCTAAATTTATATTTTCACACATCTAATACTCACTCCGTTCATAAACTTTAGGAGTTGTAGGAGAAGCAATTTCAACAACTCCACCTTACCCTAACTTTGAAACAACAGCTGGACAGCTGTTGATAAGCTAATACCGTTAATCAGTTGTAACATTTAAGAAAAAAATGTGATAGGAACCCAGAATAACTTCTCCTCAAACTCTCTAAATTTTGTGAGCGGACCATAGTGGGCTCACCTTTTCCTTTTTGCTGAAGAACCGGCCGAGGGACGACTTGATGCCCTTCTTCTTGTGAGCGGCAGCCTGACTAGCGTTGGGCGGCAGGTGGTACTGACTGGAGATCAACGTGTGTTTGTGTAGCGAGTCCTGGCTGCTGTGGCGGGAGGACAGAGGGGAGGGGGGAGTCGAATATCCGCCTGGCCTACATTACACATACAACACTACACTACAGGCCATCCACAGCACCCTAACCAACCACTCAACATGTATTTAGGTTGGACAAATAGAATCTAAGTACTTTATTCTGTTAAGAACAGCTGTATTACAAGGTTCGTCTGTTGTGAAAGTGGAAAGTGAGGTTTGTTTTTTTACTGCACCAGTACAGAAGCAAAACCATTTCAGAAGAAACACGGTGGTCAGTGAAACACAGGTCTTTGGCAGATTTTTAAGATCAATCTTGTATATTTGAGGACTTCGTAGACTGGTATTTTAATATTACTTTGTAATATTAAAGAGAAAATTTATTTTATGTTCATTTATAGGATTAAAGGTAGGAAAATGCCAAAAAAACAGTAAAAAAATTAGATTATTAATTTGATGAAAATCTGTAAAATTTATCAAAACTAAAAGATAAAATAATTTAGTTAAATATTGTTTTATACATTATTACTTCATTTATAGGCATTCCTAGCCTTCAAACAGTCATTCCTATTTAAAAAAATTCAGATTAATTGCTTAGATATTAATAAAAATGTAAGAATTTCAATTTTAATGTCTCCCTTCTCCACTAAATAAGTAAACATAAACAATTTTAAAAATAATAAAAATAAATTTAGATTTTGATGTTACTAAAACAACATTTGTTAAACCACCACAACAACAAAAACTTAATATTTAACACACTCATTTTGAAATTTAATCACAAAAATTTATGTATAATATTGTTACAAAATATTATCAACCAGTGTTACTATCAATAGCCAAATAAACAGTTTAGTTTGGTGCTGATGTGACATAAGTCACAAAACCGTGTGAACAAACGAGGGAGTGCTTTGCGTTGGGAATGTGCATTGTGCAACGGTGAGTCGAATACAAATAAAAGCAAAGCTGAGTGGTGGGTGACGGGTTTGCACTAAGACTATTATAAGAGCTTTACACAACCATGCCCAGCCATCTAAACTATTATCTAAAACATTGAGAAAGGAATCGTCTAAGTGTCTACGCCTCTAGATGGACGCTCATTTTATCCATCTGATTTTGGTAATAGTCTCAATACGATAAAATTTTTATTATTTTGAGTTTTGCCTGTTTATCCAAAACTCAACTGTTTAGATTGTAGATGTAGTCAAACTTTTCCCCGGTGTGAAATATGGCAAAGAATTGGTAGGCGATATGAATAGTCAGATTGTAAATAATAAGGTTTCACTGTAAAAATGTCTAAAAAAATGTTAATAAAGTAAGAAAATTAGGAGATTTAATTAATAAACTGTCAGGGCCCCAAAATTATTAGAATCTTTAGAGGAGTTCAGTTAAAGGTACGAGCTAAAGTGATGTAAACAGAGTTTGTATTTCTAGAGGCAATAGAGAGCTCTGTAAATGTTTTTACTATGAATTGTTAGATTATAGAATTTTAATCAATGATTTTAAAGTTGGTATTTGGGTTCAGATTGTTTTGTAAACTCAAAATTCAATTAATTTTGAAACTAAAAATATAAATAGTAAAAACTCTTTTGATGTTGCTGAAATTTGAGTCAAGCTGTTTACAAATTAGTCAAGCAACATATATATAGTTAGGACGATCAATATTTAGTAAAAAGAGCTGTATGTACTTGAAAATTTCTGGAACTCTAAACAATCATTAACAGGGAAAAGATGAGACTCCTTCCTCAATGTTTGCAGACAGTAAAACTAACTGTGTGGCAAAAAAGATTCAGTACTATGCTTGAATTAAATTCCCCACAATATCAAAGTACATTAATTTTCAAAACAAACATTTTAATTGTAAACACATATTCATTTGTATTAGGTCTTGTTAAAATGTATACAAGAAGTGTTTTATTAATGTTATTGTTGTCTATAACACAAAAGAGAAACTAAAAAAAAATGTTTTAAAACTAACACTCCAAGTTTAATTTTGTTTGAATTGTTTGATTAGCACAATAACTATTTAATCATTTTAGGTAGTGTTGATGGGTTTTTAATAATGTTTGAAAAATATTACTAGAACAGTATCAAAATTATCCTCAATCTGTATAGCATTGAGTAAATCGCCAAAATAGTGTTACAAAATGTATACTGCCAGTTTAATTGTGAAATATATTGATATCTTCAATTAACATTAAAAACACTTTAATTTTAATCATAGGTTTTTCTTGATATATTATTTGTTTTGTTTGAAATAAAGGAAACACAGTGATAAATAAATAAAAAATTTCTTTTACTGATATTTGTCTTTTAATGAAAATACTTGTTGGTATCTTTAACCAATCAATCAATGTTAAATTCCTTCTTAAAACACTCATATGATAAAGTAAAAGACATTCACTAGTAAAATGTGTAGGACATTTTAGTGATGGAATAACAACTAACTTCATTGATGTAAGTAAAATTAAGTACCTAAAACAAATATTGTAACTATTTTTTATTAGAAAATATTTCATGTTGAATTTTGTACTATATGTAAAAGATTTCAGGGTAGCTGTTATTACCTCATTACATAAAGCGTATCTAGACACTTTCAAATCTAACCATTTATGACGAAAATCTATAAATATTTACCAAGTTTGAACTGTATAGGCCTCATCCATTTCAGTCCTAAATCAAGGATAGATACACATTTTATGCTATATACAAATAAACACAGTATACTTCATAACTTTTATACTATTCACAATTGTGGTTTTAAATATTACCACAGTTAATTTAAATCTATCGCTTAAACATTTTCTGGGAAAGGGGGAAAATTTAAACAACTCAATAATTTTAACGATAAAATAAAAATTGTTTAACTCCAATTGCTACAGTGCTTATCATGAAAAAAGATTAACGACTACAGTATAAGTATTTATGTAATAAGCACTTTAGGACAAAAATTAGTAAATTTAAATACAACTAGAACTTAATAAATCTACAACTGGTCTATACTAAAGAAATAATAATATAGTTTTATTATACCTAGGTTAATGCAATATCAATACAATTAATTAAGAAAATAATGATCAGTACAGTGAGGATGCGGTTAAGTGTAGTTATATGTTGTTGTTATGCACTTCAAAACAGGTGAAGGCAATACCTATTTTGATAACTAACTGTTAAGATTAAATAGAATCATCCCTAGTAAAAGAATTCTGATATAGGGTTTTTCATAATATACAATTTTATCAATCAGTAATGATAAAAACTTCTGAATAATGTTTTTGATCATATTTTTGTAAACTTACACTTGTATTAGGGAACTAAATCAAAATATTTTCATGTTACTGTTCATAATTCAGAAGACTTGGTGTCTAAAAAATCACAAACTAAACAGGATACAAAATTCACTTGTTAATAGTCAAGAATAAAGTTGTCAATAATAGAAACTGGGTTGGGAATTCTCTCTTCAAAGAGAGGTTATAGTTAGAGGTTATAGAGGTTATATTGAATCTGAAGGTTTTCAATCCAAAATGGGTCAAATGTGGATTCAGATGCCATTTGGCATTAAACTATAGTTTTAAAATATAGTTGTTTAGCCTCCGGATTACTGTATTATACTTAAAATGGTTTACAATACCTGCATATAGTAATCCTTTGTTGCTGTTTTGGCAACTAGTTTCGGTTCATTATTGAACCATCTTCAGGCCTCAAGGTGTCAAATAATCACTTCATACGAAGGTCGTTAATAACAGAGTTCAATAAATAAGACATATACGTGTTTCGTGTTTTGTATATGTCTTATTTATTGTACTCTGTTATTAACGACCTTCGAATGAAGTGATTATTTGACACCTTGAGGCCTGAAGATGGTTCAATAATGAACCGAAACTAGTTGCCAAAACAGCAACAAAGGGTGTTCTATATGCAGGTATTGTAAACCATTTTAAGTTAAACTATAGATGTGTTCTAAACAAACTCTAAAGTCAGACCAGAGTTTGGCCAGTTTTTTACTAAAATAATTTTTAAATGTCCATGTTGTAAAAACACACATTCAAATTTAAGAATTAAACAAAGCAAGTACCATTGTTATGAAGTTATTCAGAAAATATTGATGAAAAAAACATTATTATTTGAGAAATGTAAGGCAAAACTTTTTGTGTGTGCCTTTTGGTTTTGGAGTTACATTTTGTAGAGACGTTATTTTTTGTAAAATGACATTACCGACATTACAAACAGGTCCAACTTTGTTTATGGGTTGACCGGGCCCCATTTTCTTGGGGAAGGCCCCCTTTTCTGTGGTGGGGAGGGGGGAGGGCAAAACCTGTTTGCAGAGCTATTCACTCTAAACCTGGGCCAAATACAACAACTTTTTCTACCACCTTTAGTGGCATTGATTATTGTATTCAAAATAAATCAGCAACTCGTTTTTGGACACAAACCAAGGTGTTTTAACAACAAATACAACATAACCGAATCACTTGTCATCACACCCTCTCTGTACTGATGTTAGTGCGAAGGGTAAGAGTGCTACGGACATGCTGGTAGTAAGCAATGTTAAGAACCTTAGAGTTGCCTGATTGTACATTCCCTGGTTGGCCGAGGGCAGAGCGTTGGCTCCCGTCCGTCTGGGGAACAGAGCAAAGCATCGTCAAGTGCATCAAACTTACGAATAGAGTATTTAAAAAAGGAATCAGTTATTTACCGTCTCAATGCAGTAGTTTGAATATTTGGGAAACATGGTTTTATGTGCTAAATTTTGATCCCCCTCAAATTAATTTGAAAACTCTGTAAGGAGTGGTTTTTACACTGATCGTAGGATTGTTACCTAATTTAAATGGTATTGTTTAGAAATTCGGTACTTTGGTAGGCCACTTATTTTACAGCGCGCTGCGGCGGTTATGTTAGGTTGGTTTATCAAAAATATGTCATAAAATATCATATGTAGGACTTTTCTTGTTTTTTTATAAATCGAACGATAACCTGATCAGTCATACTTTCTATTAATGATAACCCAACCTAACATAACCGCCACAGCGCACTGTAAAATAGGCCTCTGTATAATACCAAAGTACCAGAAAATTTTAAACTATCAGTGCTTTCTCTTCTCATAAAATAATGTTAGGAACAATACAGTTAGTTGTTAAGGATGAAGAATACACACATTAAGTTAGTAGCTTGTACTACAAGGTCAGATAATATTTCAGGCAAAATTAGGTTAGTTTTTTTTCTCGCTATAATTTCTCTTTATTACACAAAATAGTAATCTCAACCAATTTCAAATTTGAATAACAAACAATCTTAAAACAAATAAAGCACCAATTAAACTGTTTAAATTTTGAACAAAAGTAAATTTTTATGACATTATTTGGTAATGATAGCTTCAGGGCGGTTTTAAGAATTTTGTAGTAAATACATTGTGAACAGCAGGCTCACTTTACTGTAGGAATGGTCAAGTCTCGAAATTTCGGGAAATTTTAAATCTCGTTACACGAGACGAGATTTCTTTTTGGCCGAAATTTTTATCAAGACGAGAATAAAAAAAAAAAAAAAAAAAAATTAAAAACGCCTGCAGAAATGAAAGTCAATGCAATACCCGCAATACAGGAGCGTGTTGTAGTTGCGTTTCCATTGTGAAGGCGTTCTTATTTAATTAATTCTTTAAATGTAAATATTACTTTAATTATTTTAATAATATTACTTTAATAACATTTGAGAAGTTTTGTTAAGTGTAAGCAGTGTGAGGAATGTTTTATTACTATAAAAAAAACAAAACAAGTAACTATTTTATCAAAATTAATATTGCTTTTATTTTATGATTTATTTTATTTTAGGATAAGTTGAACTCCATCCTAACTGATATCACTATGTTTCCTAATCGTAGGCATTTTTAATAAGTTAGGCGTGATTAATAAAAAAAATGTTATGCTGATGTTTTTTTAATAAAAGGTTGTAAATATTCTTGCCTATTATCATTATTTTTGTATTTAAACAGTCATCTAACAATGTTACAAAATCAGGTAAAAATTTTGAACGTGCATTTCCCGTTGTGTATGAGAAGGGAAATCCCGTCTCGATCTCGTCTTGAAATTTTATGAGAAATAAAAAATCTCGTCTCGTCTCAAACTAAAAATCCAATCTCGTCCATCCCTACTTTACTGAAAAAAAAAATGTTAAAACCTACGAATGAACACATAAAACATAGAATTTTTGGAACTATTAGGTCCTTCTTCAGTTGTAGTTAGAAAGACTAAACAACTGATGAAGGAACTAGTAGTAGTTAATAACATTCGACGAATAAGTGTTAATTTGTATACTTTGAACAATTTTTGCCAGTAAGATAATCCCACTGTTTAACATATCCACCACAATTTCTTAAATCAAGTCATCAGTGCATCTGCCATATTCAGTGGTTAGGTCATAAACCTCTGTTAGTTGGTTACATTAGTTTCATTCAGATTCAAAATTAGTGTTACACAGGCAGTGGTAAGGTTAGGCTAGTTTTACACAGACCTCCGCAGTTCCTCCTGACTGTGTTGCAGAGCCTGCGCGACCCGCTCCAGCCGCAGACTGCGTTGTGTGAGAGGAGACGCAGCCCCACTACACTCACCTCCGCCTCCGCTCAGCTCCTCTGCAGACATGTCTGTAGGCAGCTGGGCCAACTGGAGCTGCAACATTACCCGCCACATGTAGCACAACCAGCACAACTGATCTCATTGTCAACACTTTTTAAGTTAACTGCCTGCAAAAAATCGTAGTGAACTAAACTACCTGAAAGGACGTTAGGATTGTCAATCTTACTCAAGGATTCTAGAATCCCAGAACTAACAATTAGAATCATGTAAAGTTAATTTCATAATCCTAACGTCCAAGCAATAATTACTTTTTAATGGTAAAGTATTAAAATAAAAGATTATTTAAAGATTAATTAAAGAGTAGATACAAAATCAATTCTAAACCAATCAGAAAGCTATCCTAAGCATTCTTGAAGAAAAATTTACACAAGTCAAGTATATAAAAAAATTCTTAAATAAGGAACCTAGTGAATAATCACATAGCCTGTTGTAAGAATAAATGGAACTTCGGATAACTGTTCAAAAATAGATCAGTTATCTGTTAGGATAACTAAATCGATGGTATTAACTTCAAGCCATTCCACACACGTTTTAAGCAACAACCAAAGCACAGAGTCTATGAAGAATTGTTACATAGCCTTCACTATGGAACAGTAAATACAATTCAGAAGAAAATATTACTAGCTACAAACTATTCTTGATTATAAATTTAAAAATATATAAATACACAATTGAACATATTTTGTGTAATTGTACTTATTCTATGCAAGTGTTGATTGTACAAAAAACAATTACAAGTGGATAAGCTGTGAATTGTGTGTAAACCGTTTTTGAACGGCAAAAGCATTGATACACAGTTACCATAGTCAGTATAAAGTTACCGCTGACTTGAATGGGGTGCTTTTAGTGAAACGCAAAGCGATTCACATTTTGTAGACTTACCAATCAAAGAGAAAAAAATACTCCACTATATCAAAACCACAGAAAAAAATTACTTTGAAAAAATCACATGTGTCCTGAAACCTGCAATAGAAGACAGTTGCTAAAAGGTTAATCAACATATCCGTAACTTAAACAAACATGCACTTGACTTACAAAACACACGCATATCGACAAGTAATTCATCTGCTACCAAACACTGTTATGGAGGGGACTAACCCTAGGGACGCAGTGTTGTCTAGACTACGGTGCCAAGTGTTATGTACATAACTGTCAGCTGACAACGCGAGGGGGCAGCGGTGGGGAGAGGGGGGACTACAAGACAAGAAAAGCGGGAACGGAGAAAAGCGAAGCGACGGTACCTGGCTGGTCGGCAGGGACTCGGAAAGTTGGCCTGGACTCATGAGATTGGCAGCGTATTGGTGGAGGTGGGCTGGCGACATGGATGCTGGAGCCTACAATAACACTGGTCTTACTGATCACTACCAGCACTACACTAACTGGGGCGACCTCTGGGAGAGGTTGGCAGCCTCTTTTAACCTTACATTGGCTTATAAAAATAGGCTTCGGTTTGTGGGACATATCCAGCAAAGCAAGGTGTGAGCCTGTATAGTACAACAACACTAGGATGCAAACCCATGACATTTCTGACATGGATTCGTAGTCCGTTGCGTCTAAGCCACCGACTCTGTAATTAGTTTAGTTGTCAATGTCAAGAGACTGTTCAAGGTTTACATGAGGATTACATTTTTGTATACACCAAAAAATTGTTTTTAAAAATTAAAATTTGTTCTTTTGAAAGATATATTATTTACAGGTAGAAATAAATATTTATCATGAATTTTAAATGCCAAACACATACAAGTTTAGGACATAAACATGTTTTTAAAAACAATTGCTTTCATTGGAGATGTTTTGTGGTCAGAATAATTAATTTATTATTAGTATAATCCTTAAATGTGAAGGTTGCTGTCAAAAATGAAATGCAACTATTGCTAATTACGATAATTTTGAATTAAAATTAATTACGATAATTGACTTTGATCTGACTTATTAGGCAGTCTAGATTTCAAAAGCTAGCTCGCAAGAGAAGTCCGTGAAAAAAATGGTTTGGTGAAAGTTGATCCGATGTTGCCAAATTTCTATTGAGTTAAAAAGAGAATCATCAGTTACAATTTATTTTTGACAATTTTTGTGTGATCATAAAAGCATGGTTGTAAAAAAAAATTTAGCCAATTTAGGGGGAGAGGGATTAACCTCCTGATTGATCTGTCAGGAGTGATTAAGCAGAAAATACAATCAAATCTAAGATAAGTAAAAATAGTAAAACTAATTCCAGAAAGGGATTAAACTTGACGTTTTATTTAAGGGCTAAAACACTTGAGCTAATGACTATAGGAAACTTTGAACGCTTTTTACAAAGGATTAACTCTCCTATGTGACTTTTAAGGGGAAATACCAACTGTGAACAGAAGCTAAGGGGCAAAGATTGATTTGTCGTTGCTTACTTTAGTATTTCTGTGGTGACCAATTTTATGTTTCTGCTGAAAAAGAAAAGCAAGAAGAGAGAAAAGAGCTGAAAGTAGTATTGGTAAGTTTATAAGGAAACAAAGAGCAAGTCAGCTTAGCTTCGACCTGGCACCAGATAATAAAAAGCAAAATTTAATACATAATTTCCTTTACCAACCTGTATCTTCAAGATAAGTCAAGTGAATTACCATACCAAGACCAATTACAAAGACATTTTTCTTCCTATATATTAAAACTAACAACTTATACATTACAACTTAGATACATCTCTTCTAAGTATGTTTGAAGTTTTATAGATTTCAATCAACCACAATTCATAGCTAATTCTATGTTCTTTTCTGTTCTTTTAGGAAATTATTTTTAACTGAGGCGCATGTAATTAATTGCAGCACTATCTAGGTCAATGGTAACTTAGATTGCATATGTGATGGCAAATGACAGAACCATATTTGCTTAGATTATGGGAATATTAGAGGGAGTAGGATTTTTATAGGTTTTAAGCAACCTACTGTACTATACTTATAAGTCAGTACGGTAATAAACTGTTGAAAGCATTTATTTACCTAACTTTTATATTTATGTAACTTGTTCCTAAAACTATTTCACAGTTTAAATGGTACTTATTGTCATTGAGTTGGGTTAAAAATCCTTGTGGAGCAAGTTAGCTAATTCTATCAAATGTCTTCAGAATGTACTGTTATCAATGTGCTTAGCAAGTTTAAGTGCCAAACTTGTGGTTCCATTACAGTGAATTTCAATTCCTTTCATGTAAGAGTAATAAATTACTGATAAGAAAAAAAACAAACCATGAATGAATTCTTTATAAATTGCAACAGTTAAGTAGTAGAAATGGAAGTAAGGCGCACAAATATCTTTTAACCCTTCCTCGAACATATGTGTGGTCATCTAAGATGTCTTACAGAAGTATGATACACTTTTGAACAATTAACAATTGGGAGGTATACAACAAAATCAGTCCAGAACCTACAGCAATGTGGGTGAGCGTGTCGGAGTGTACTAACCGTGTGGTACTTGTGCAGGTAGTCACGTTGGGGCGAGTGGTGTGACTTGGGCGTACTGCGGCCACTCAGTGGCGGTGAGGATCTCTCAAAGCTGCGGCCTCGCACCAAGAGGTTCATGTGCTCCAGACTGCCTACCCGAGACTCCAACTCTTCTGCTCTCGCCTCCGTACTCTGCTTTTCCTCTTGGATAAGTCTGCAAGGGAAAATCATTAGTAAAATAACTACAACAAGTAATTGAGTATCAAGAATTATTTGAATTTTCACAAATACACAAGTAAAAGTTGAGCAGGCTCAAAAACATCGAGCATCGATGTTGTTGAAACCATATCCCATATTTTACAATAATTTAATAAATTTATGTTTTGTATTTGAGAGGTGACTAATTATTGAACCCTTATTCTTGGAAGTAATAGAATTTTGCATCACACAATTAATAGTGCACAATCATTGCATTGTCATTCGACACAGCTATTAAGAGGATACAACACAAATACTGAAGGTTGAACTGCTTAAAGTGCAGTAAGCGAAAATTAACATTGTATTGCTCCAGTTTTTACTTGTATGACTACATAAAAATTTATTCTGATTTTTTTAACTGATAAAAGAAGTTTGGTGAATTGTGATGTATTAAATTAGTAAAAAAAATTTCTAAATGTTTTCTGCACTCATTAAAACTCAAAATATATCAATACCACCAACGAATAAAAGTCTTATAATACATATGGTTTGCATTCACATTAAATTGGCAGTTCAAATGTGCTTATAGATATTAGATGTACAATGATTATTTAATTTTTAAACATATTTAATACCATTGTAGTTCAATATTGAGAAAAAAAACATTTTTGATGACTAATTGGTACTTTTTACACACTTAATTGCAGATTTGTGATTGGTTACGTATAATTATCTATATATTAATACGCAAGGAGTTTTCTTTTCACAGTCATAACTCAATAACGGCTTGATGGATGTTAAAGTTTGAGGTGTCAAATTAAAGGTATTTTCATGTAGATGTGCAAATACGTCTCAGAATATTTGGAAAGGGCACCACTTAAGTACAGTTAAGTGCTAAAGTTTGGAAGGCGGCGCCATCTGTTGACATTTGATCAAACTCAATTCCCTTTGTTTACAAATAACATATGGACGTAGTTTGAAATAGTTTTTAAGGTTAACCACAGACTGCAGGACTTAAAACTTTCAGAGCAAAGCTGGAATTTATATTTTGTTTCAATCTGTTAACTAAGTCTGGTTCATAATGAAGAGCATCCTATCAATACTAGACAACAAAGTGTTTAGTAAGAATAAATATTTAATTATTTTTATTATTAGTTTTTAAGTTTGACCATAGACTGGCAGGACTTATTTATTTCAGAGCAAAGCCGGAATTTTATATTTTTAATAAACATCTGTTAACTAAATCTGTTTCTTAACTAAAGAGTTTCCTAGCAACTTGACAACAAATTGTTTGTAAATAGTTGAATGTATTTACCTTACATCATATTTTACTGAATTATCGTGTTGTTTTGATTACAGTTTGGTGTGATGAAATGAATGTTTGAGAGTGATTATTTCCAGTGCAGTTACATCACCATATCATGTACTTTACAATGTGTATAACAATTCCATTGTAGTGTTTTCTGTTGTTTTGTTAACTTTCGTAATTTATCTAAATTTAAAATAATATACCACCAGTAGAGTGGCTGGAGGAAACGCGAATGTGGCTGCTTGCATCAATCTCACAATGTATCATTTGAAGATTACATAGTGGCAACCATCGTGTGGGATACATACAAATGTTAACATTTTGGTGGCTTACATTTTAAGCAAAAAAAAAAAAAACGAGTCTGGCCGATACAGTTCAATTGTTACTCTTTGTTGCCATAAATGAGAGAACCATTTACCTCATCTGCGGAATTCACCATACTTTCAGGACTTATTGGAAACTCCCAATCTGAAATCAGGGCTGTGAGGCTTGGATCTAGAAATTATTAGAATAAAATTTGTCAATTCAATTCCGCCTTTGCCATGGTCAGCTCTGAAACTCATTTAGATGAGAGGATCATACAGGGGATCTACAATTTCAAGATCCATAACACTTGAAAGGAAAGATTCAATGAAAAAATATGTGGGAAATAGGGTCACATTGCCAACCCATTTGCCCAATCTTTTAAAACTGTGGTAGAAATGTGTAGGGACGAGAGCTCCGAGGAGTTAAGGGAGATTCTTATGTACATATTAAGAGACAAAATAATTGGCTTTCCTCGCTACAATGATGCGATCTGTATAAATGTCGCCGCTATTTTTAAAGCTGAAAACAGACCAAATAAATCTTAGTTTTTTTTTTTTTTTACTAATAATTTTAAACGCAAATCCGTTCTAGATCTGTCGTTACATCCACTTGCTTGCCCTCTAATGTTCCCAACTGGAGACTTTGGTTGGGGCAACTAATTTAAACACGCCTAAAACAGAACCTATCGTAGAAATAATTTAAGAGTGCTATATTACGTGTAACCCCACCTACAATACATAAGAAATGACCAAAGCAGTATGAGAGCGGATCTGTATTTAAATATTGTAGGTTAGTTTTATAATTTGTTACAACATAATAGTTTTCGTATTTCTATAATCAGTCATAGACTTTAGAATTACTCTTTGATTGAGGTCTTGCTGTTTATGTTTTTGTTGTTTATATTTTTTTTATCAAGTTGCAGTTTTGCTCGATTTCGAGCAACAGGTTATCTAGTTTAATTAACTATACGTTAGTTGCTATATCAACTATCAAATAAATCCATTCAATGAATACAAAATCTATAAGAAGCGCAATACCTTTGTTAAAAATTCAGTCCATGGGAATATTTGAATTTTGAATAGTTCCTGCGGTGGCCGCTAGGCAGACAATCGCGAGTGCGCAGCCAAGTTAGCTAACTGAGTGAGAGAGAGTGAGACAAAGAATCTGCTTAGAGAGAGAGGGATCGAGTAGTGCGGCCTAAGCTCATTTCGGCTGCAAAATTCCAGTTTGACTATTTTCCATAAGCAGGTTTCGCATTTCGCTTCTATTCATTGATCCATTTTAGACTACAGTAACTAACAAACCTGATCTCGTTATTGATGGCGTCCAGCTGTTCCTGCAGCATGATGGCTAGTGTCTGTGCGTCTGTGTGACCAGACGGAGACAAGATATCGGCCGCACTGAAGATACTCTCGTTGTCGTCTCCCTCTGCGTCGCTCGTCATGTCGTACACTTGCTGTGCATTGCTCGACATCATGTGTACCTGCTGCATCTTCTCCCATTCCTGCCAAAGTGAGAACAATCAATATTTGGCTCAAAGTGTTGCTAATCTCGCTATTAGAAAAAAACCCCTTAAATCTAAACTTAAATGGTGTTTCAGAAAACAATTCTCTTCCTTCCTTTGCCTGCTAAGTTGTAAAAATGTTCATCAATATTTGTTTATATTTATATAAAATATTCATTTGGAGACACCTTTAATATTATTTTTTGTAAGAGAGTTTCATTTTTAAGAAGAATTTTTACTTTATAAGAAAGTGTTAAGACCACTTCCTGATTATTTGTCAAATTTAGATACTTTTTGTGATCAGTTGAATTTGTTATCATTTAAGTGTCGCAAATATTTCGTTTGATTTTAACACTGTTTGTCCCTTTGGCTAGACAAGTTCCGGCTAAGTGTTGTGCTAAATCAATCTGTGTAAAACAATCCATTAATTGCTACTGTTGGTGAAAAATCAATCAAGTTTTTTACTTGTGTTATTTTTATAAGGTGATAAAACTAATAGTTAATATAGAATGAAATGAAAAAATTGAGAATATGCAAAGCAGTTTGGAGTCAAGACCACATACATACGTTTGATGAAACATTTGAAATTATGTTAAATACAGGGTGGTGCAGAGAAATGGGAAATTTTGAACTCGTTGTTGGTACACCTGTATCTCTTGTAGGAATGAGAAATGGAAGTCATGAAGCCAAGTAGTAATGGACATTTAGTTCAGACGGAGCAGTGGAGTGGTGATGAGCGTACAGTCGGCCTGAGAGCGTACTACAAAAATAGTGACAGTGCAAAACTGCAAATGTTTGGATGTCTGCCACTTTAATTTAAATGGACATGTCAATACAGTAGACTTCCTCTTATCCGGACTCCTCGGGACCGAGGCCAGTCCGGATAACGGGTTTTCCGGTTAAACCGACGTCCCCAAAAAATCATTAAAACGGTTTACTGTGATATTCGACTTAAATTTAGGAGAGCATTGTATTTAGACACGTGATCACTGGTCTCAAATCTTTCCCACGAGAACAGTCGTTTCAGTACTGCCCACTTCCTGCCGATCTAGTCCGGTTAAACCAATGTGCTGATAAAAATTGTCCGGTTAAACAGATGTCATTTCCGCCGAGTGTAGTCCGGTTTATCCGATGTCCGGTTAAAAGGTATCCGGATAAGAGAGAGTCTACTGTAAGCAGAACATGCGTTACTGGGCTCAACGAAATCCCACTGAACTTCATCAACGTTCGTTACACAGTCCCAAAGTTACTGTGTGGCGTGCAGTGTCTTGTCTTGGTGTGATTGGACCTTACTTTTTTGTGGATGAAAATGGTTCCACTGTAACTTTCACATCTCAACGTTACATTCATATGCTGGAGACATTTTTCGTTCCATGGCTTCTTGCTTCTCAGATATTGAAATTCAGCAAACCTGGTTTGAACAAGACGGAGCCACCTCACACACTGCCAATCTGTCAATGGCTGCATTGAGAAGTTTGTTTGGGGAGCTCATAATTTCAAGGAACGCTAACGTCGTTTGGCCCCACGGTCTCAAGACCTCTCAGTGTGTGACTTCTTTCTATGGGGGACATCTAAAGAGCGTTGTGTACCTGGCTAGGCCAAGAAATCTTATTGAGCTCAAGATTCAGATCGAAGAACACATCGCCAATATTCCAGAGGACACATTGTGTCACATAATGCTTAGTCTTCAAAATCGATTGAACGAATAGGCCCAAAAGACAGCACTTAACTGATGTGATTTTTTAAATATGATTTTTGATTTTATTCCTATTTCCAACGTTGATTATGTATTTTCCACACTTGACCAACACATTTCCACCATTAAAGATTTTTTTTTCCATTTTCTTGGTATATTATAATTATTTCAAAATTTCCCGTTTCTCTGCGCCACCCTGTATATAAATATGGAGTTCACTATTTTTCCACATTAATGTTATGTGCTAAAATAGAGATCTCTCTGACTTAAAAAGAACATTTAGAGGGAAAAAACTTTGAAATTCACCAATCTGAACAAGAAAATCTACCATACACGTTGGTACTCTCTGACAAATATTATTTATACAGTTCTTAAGATTCTTGGTAGTTTAATATCTTTAGTTAGTTTGAAATAATTATTAGGAGTAAGAAAATATTACTTTAGAGGGATCATCTTCCATCACTCTTGACTTGTGTGATCTTCGAGAGAGCGAGTGAGTGTCGAAACTTGAGTGGCTCGTGCTTCTGACAAAACTGCTCTGCTCTTGCATGCTTGGTGATAAACTCCTGAAAAATTAAAGAGTTACACCATGATATAGTGTTGAAAATAAATATTTATATAAATATTTTAACAACACATTTGACATCCTCTCAATATGAAAAACTGCTTGCAATATGATAAATGTAACCTATATCCTATTATAGGATTCCTATTAATTTTTTTTCTTACCTAGCAGAAATCTAGGTAAGAATTTTTATTACCTAAGTAATAAATAAAATTCTTTAGAACTTGTAACAAAAACACAAAATCTTTCATATATATAGTGATGGAATGGTGTCAAATTTAACTTCTTCAACCCAACTATGCGTGCTTTGGATCCAGACTTTGGATATTGATATTCCATCCATATCCATCTAAATGGAACCGCTATAACCAGTGAATCACTCAAAAAGAACATGATTGAATGAGCCTCTTGTGATACTATTAGTCCATTGATCTGTTCATTCAAAGATAATTTGTGGGGGAAAATGCAACACATTCATTCTGTCAGTGTCTTTTATGACGATTATGTATCAATTGAACTTTGTTCATTTTTATTGTAACACTGGCTACATTTTAGGAACGGATGTTTACTTTACTGCAAAGTATATATAGTCGAATGTTTCACCTATACCTATAGCTACATAAACTTTATACAAACCTCGTTAATGCGTCTGTCTGTTGAATGTTGAAAGCTATTTCTTGTTGTAACATTTGTCGTTTAACATTGTCTGTTTCTAACCTTGATTTACTTAATTCCTTGACTATTTCTTGCTGCAACAATCAATTTTTGGTTAATAAAAGTTGCAGTAAAAATAGTTTGTTTACAATGTTATATCTATTATCATTCTTAGCTCATGATATTGACACCAGAGTCAAGTAAAATAATCTTTATTTACGAGGGACATTAGTTTTCATGAGAAATAAAATACAATAGAAAAAAACCTAGTAACAGGGGGAGTATAAATATGTTACGTTTAAATTTTTGCGAGTTAACAATTAAAAAATAAATAACAGCTTAAACCATTTTTTTTATTTATAAATTTGTACAATTAATTCTTACCTTTTCAACTTGTATATCTTCTAATACTTTCCTTGTCTTTTCTAATTCTTGTGATAACGCATTCTTCTCTTCTAAAGCGTGCATCCTCTCTTTTAAATGTACTTGCAGTCTTTCATTTGATTCTGTAAATAAATCAAGACAAAATATTTTTAGCATCTTTTAATAACAAACTATTGATTAATCAGAATGGTATAACTTATGTTTGCATTATTTTATCACTGAAATTTTAAGACAAAATCATGTTGGACTTTCTCAAAGGGGGTTTTTTGGCTGTTGTCTACGCTGGTGGCATTTTTACTGGAGTTATAACAGGATGAAGTATATTCCAAAGTTTTTTTGGGATAGGTGCAAGCCCAAATGTGTTGTGGGCGTGCTGGGAATCGAACCCACAACTCATATGAGTTTGAAATGATTGTCCTGTCTTAACTTATAAATTATATTTTTTACCTTTCAAATATCATCTATAGGCTACCTAACTTATAATGAAAGTTCAAAATTGCAACCTGCAAGTAAAAAATGCAAGTCGTAAGTTTTATTTACTAAAAAATAAAAATAAGATTTAAAACTAAAAAAATTACTATAAACTCTTAGATGTGGAAATTTGTTTGGCATATAGAGAAATTCCTATGGAATTTAGAATTAATTATGAATGTTATCACCAGGATTAATTATTGTGAGTCAAAATAAACCAAAAATAAAAATGCATCTAAAACTGCAAGGTCTCGTCTAACATTCATATTGAGTTGACAATAGTACAAAGTCACTGTGTTAGTGAAATGGTTGAAGTGATTTACCTGATAAGAGTTTGTCTACTGTGCTAGACAGCCTGGTGTTGTGGTCCTCATTCATCTTGAGTCTCTGGTTGAGCCTCATCACTTCTGTGTTCTTCTCCTCCACCTGAGCCTCCAGTCTCTGTATCCTGTCCTCGGCTGTCCCGTGTCTCTCCTGGGCCTGCAACACACCAACATCCCAGACTCAACAACATTGGTAATTTAATCATCTCAACATCCCAGACTCAACAAAAAAAGTAAGTTCATCATTCCAAAATCCCAGACTCAATAACATCAGTAATTTCATCATTCCAAAATCCCAGACTCAATAACATCAGTAATTTCATCATCTCAACATTCCAGACTCAATAACATCAGTAATTTAATCATCTCAACATTCCAGACTCAACAACATCAGTCATTTCATCATCCCAACATTCCAGACTCAACAACATCAGCCATTTCATCATCCCAAAATTCCAGACTCAACAACATCAGCCATTTCATCATCCCAACATTCCAGACTCAACAAGATCAGTCATTTCATCATCCCAACATTCCAGACTCAACAACATAAGCCATTTCATCATCCCAACATTCTAGATTCAACAACATCAGCCATTTCATCATCCCAACATTCCAGACTCAACAACATCAGCCATTTCATCATCCCAACATTCCAGACCCAACAACCTCAGCCATTTCATTATCTCAACACCACTGACTCAATAACATTAGTAATTTCATCATCTCAACAATATTAGTAAGTTCATCATCCCAACACCACCGACTCAATAACATTAGTAATTTAATCATCTCAACATTCCAGACTCAATATCAGTCATTTCATCATCCCAACATTCGAGACTCAACTAGATCAGTCATTTCATCATCCCAACATTCGAGACTCAACAAGATCAGTCATTTCATCATCCCAACATTCCAGACTCAACAACATAAGCCATTTCATCATCCCAAAATTCCAGACTCAACAACATCAGCCATTTCATCATCCCAACATTCCAGACTCAACAAGATCAGTCATTTCATCATCCCAACATTCCAGACTCAACAACATAAGCCATTTCATCATCCCAACATTCTAGATTCAACAACATCAGCCATTTCATCATCCCAACATTCCAGACTCAACAACATCAGCCATTTCATCATCCCAACATTCCAGACCCAACAACCTCAGCCATTTCATTATCTCAACACCACTGACTCAATAACATTAGTAATTTCATCATCTCAACAATATTAGTAAGTTCATCATCCCAACACCACCGACTCAATAACATTAGTAATTTAATCATCTCAACATTCCAGACTCAATATCAGTCATTTCATCATCCCAACATTCGAGACTCAACTAGATCAGTCATTTCATCATCCCAACATTCGAGACTCAACAACATCAGCCATTTCATCATCCCAACATTCCAGACTCAACAACATAAGCCATTTCATCATCCCAACATTCCAGACTCAACAACATCAGCCATTTCATTATCCCAACATTCCAGACTCAACAACATCAGCCATTTCATCATCCCAACATTCCAGACTCAACAACATAAGCCATTTCATCATCCCAACATTCCAGACTCAACAACATCAGCCATTTCATCATCCCAACAACATCAGCCATTTCATTATCCCAACATTCCAGACCCAACAACATCAGCCATTTCATCATCCCAACATTCCAGACCCAACAACATCAGCCATTTCATCATCCCAACATTCCAGACCCAACAACCTCAGCCATTTCATTATCCCAACATTCCAGACTCATCAAAATCATTCCTTTCATTATTCTAACATCCAAACATCCCATACTCAACAACAAGCTGTCTTTACGGTTTATTAAAATAAACATCAGTTAACCAGTAAATTTAAACAATTATTGATCTATAATAAGACACATTTAAGGCAAAAATGTTTTCTAAGAATCTTAAAATACTTTTGTAATGTTTGATAAACTTTCTCAAAAATATGTATGCTAAACTGTTAATAAATAATTTTAGTATTGTATACTTTAATCATTTTATATACATAATACTGATAGTAAAATAAAAAAATTTCCCAAATCCTGTCCAAAACCTACTCAAATAGATCTAATAAACAACAAAACATTATTATCTTAACTACAACTGATCTAATATCTAATCCTAATTAGGAACATTAAACTTACCTTGAATTTCATACTACAAATTAAACAACAATAATAAATACATGAATTTAAACTAACATCGAGAGAAAAGCATACTATTTTTTCAAGACCTGTAGTGTACATCACCAAGAGATAAACATTTATAAAAAACATCAAAATCTTACAGATAATTAATTATATTTAGGATATACTTTAAATAAAAAACATTGATAGAAGTGGGCAAGTACTAATACTACTAATAATGCCTTTTTGTAAATTAAAAATCGTTTCATGCTTGGCCCGAGAGTTAACTGCTATAATGAAGGCGAAAAGTTGTTGTTTTCAATAAATTTTAAACCCCTATAGTTAAATTAAATGAATTTGTCAATCTTTATTAAAATATAGCAGTCAAACGTGTAGAAATTAATTGTTTCTCCATAGTTTTGATGAGGATAAAATTTGTGACAAGGTACTGTGTTTAAGTCAAAAACATCTTGGAAGTTCCAAGTTTTATCACAATTTTATCAAAATACGTAGAACTGTTTTTACTGGAGTTAAATGTTATTTACAATTTTGATTACCAATAAAAGATGTATATCAAATTTTTGTTTCTGGGGACACTAAAACAAAATGCGCTATTGTCTCGGACTTATGCCTTGCCAACATAATTCCACTAATGACTTACTTTCTGGTAGGGACATGCATTAATAACAAACTAGTGCACCTGTTGCTCGAATTTGTGCAATTGCAAGGTATTACAGGCGTAATTTCAAAACAAATAACAGTTAGGCTATATAATTTCCGATGACTTAAAAGAGTCAACTCAAAGAATGCAATCAATCACTCCACTCCAGTTATTGAAACTGAAAACGAACGCTCTTATAAATATCAATATATCATGTGTTTACTATGAACAGCTGTAATTAATACAAATTATTTGTCTGTTTAAGTAACCAAAATCTTTTCTTCAAAAGAAATACGTTGGGATTTTGATGGCCTGTGGGGCAAAGCCTGAGGACTTTTATTACAGAAATTTGTGAAAGGGGGCGTCTAGACAAAAAATACTTAATTTTGACACATCGTTTGTAAAAATCCATCCATTATTAACGGAGGAGTAGTGTTTTGTAGAAATCGCCTTCACGTATTATATACAAGGATGTTTGTAATATTTCATTAAAAAAGAAAACATTAAGGAACAACATATTAAAATACACCAAGATCATAACACAAAGAGATTATATACTTCACATGTCTTGCCCACTCCTAACCAATGTGTGATAAAATACCAATAAGAAATTAGGATGTGCTTATAATCATGCAATGTAAGTGTTTCACTAATGTAAATCTATAGTACCCACTCCACCATGTTAACATACACTAATGGGGGAGCCTAATAGCGATTAGCAACTTTAACTATTAGCAGGGCAAAGATAAACTAGCCACCATGGTAAAACTATACTTGTAACATTGGATTTGGATGCAGCAAGTTGATTTTTCATCCTAATGTAAAGGTGTTATGATGTTATTTCATGTCTAGTAGTGTTTGAGTGAGTTGATATAGGCCTAATCTCCCTACAGTAGAACCTCGTTTACGTAAAATTGAATAACACGACAACCTCAATTACAATTGCTCTTTTAAAATCCCCTTGAAAATGTCATAACACATAATGTTAAATTAATCTCTATAAAAGAACTATTTCTACAAAAACCTGGATAACACACCCTCTCTTTACACAATTTATTGAACAATTCCCACAAGAATTTCCAGAACTGATGTTTTCGACGAAACGTTGTCTATTCAGCCTTTACATGTGACTTTAGTTTTTGTCTAATTTATCACACAGTATGAAAACGCAAAAAAATGCTATTGTTTAGGATTGAATTAGTTATTGTAATAAAAATAAATAAATTGTGGTTTATTAAGGAAATTTACAGGAAAGCAGGATTACCTTTAAATAAGTCCATAGAGACACATAAAACATCACAAAAGTAAAAGTAGAAATTTTCTTGGTCATTTTTCTTCAATCTCCAGTGGTTGAAAAAGTGGTCAGTCGCCACAAAAATTTCTACTTTTACTTTTGTGATGTTTTATGTGTCTCTATGGACTTATTTAAAGGTAAGCCTGCTTTTTCTGTCAATTTCCTTAATAATTCCTGGCAAATAACCTATCTTTTTATCAGATAAATTGTGGTTTAAAAATAATTGAATTAGAATGAGATCATTGAAAAGATGTTCAGTGCTTTTACATTGATGGACAACACAGCTGATAGCCGAAATTACCTTGATAACAGGACCCTTAATCAGAAAAGCAACTTAATAACTGAATCTCTAATCTCCTCCTGACGCATCTTATTGAGGTTCTACTGCATTTCTCTCTTATTTGAGGAAAAACTCAATAGTGAGTGCTTTGCTCTTGGATAAAAATTCCAGTGGTTTAAAGTGTGTATTATTACAGTATCAATGATTATTAAAAAAAAATATCAAAACACATGTACAACATACAGAAACACAAATTTAATTTATCTTCTTCAGCACAAGGATGAGAATCTGTAAGGGAGTATTTTTGACCTATAGCTATACCAAGTAGGTACTAAAGAATTGTAGCGTTCTGAGCAAGATGCATATGTTTTGGGTAGTGTTTGAGTGTTATTTGTGTAAACAAATTGTATTCAACCTCAAATTTAGATGAATAATATTACGTGGTAAATAAACATTTTAACAAGGCTTAAAATTATTAATTTTAACCTATTATAGTATGTATATAGTAGTCAAAAAGTACATAATAACAATATCATGAATTTTCTTTTTCTATGTTATAAGGTTAAAAAAGCCAACTAAGGTTTAAAAATGTGTATTTTACGAACCCTGCATCCTCTGGATGGTATTGTTAATTATGAGACTATCAGGAGTCATCTGATTTTTTTGCAACACTAAAGCAAGTTTGACTAGATAAAGGATCCCTGTTGTTAGTAGTGTGGTGTCAGTGCAGAGAGAGAGATAGAGAGATAGAGGGGGGGGGGGGTAACACCGAGAGTACAGAGACGGAGCAGTAATGGAGGAGTGGCGTACCTGGGCCCTCACCTGGCTCAGGGCCTCCATACGCTGCTTCAGCTCCTCCTCCATCTCCGGCAGCTTGGCGAACTGAGCCAGCTTCTGCTCACACAGCTCCAGCTTCTCTTGGATGGCTCGCGTCTTCTCCTCCTGCAACTGCACACAGACAGGGAGGTTAATAGACTTCAAGTGGTAGGGTATATGTCTCCAGCCAGCTCCAGACACAACCAAGCTAACTAAACTAGTTCAAATCTGGCACCAGCACCACTATCCACATCTTTGACATTCCCCACTCCTAAGCAACATCTAGTCTTGTCAATAACAGTGTCAAGTAAATTATACACTTTTGCCAATTATGATTGTATTTCTTCGAAAGTGTCAACTTCTATTCAAGACGATCACCAGTTGACGGACATGCAATCTTTTACAAATACATTCGTTAACTGACAATCGATTGCTATGGGATGTTCTTCCTAACAAAAACCAACCACACAACAGACTTCATACTTGTACATGACTTGGAGTGTTGCTTTTCCCTCACATTGTTTTCGGCTACTATGAGAAGACTACTCGTCACAAATGAGTTGGATCCGACTAGAATAGTAGTGGATGAAGAAAAGAACATGGTGTTGGTGTCTCATTTGAACTATCTTGCCTCTCCTCGATGGGAGGGTGTTTGAGACCTTATTTTAAGCCTAATCCAGTCTAAATTGGACTAAGCACTGTTAATCTTAATGCTAAAACTAATATAACCTAAAACCGGGTCTGCTTTATTTTTAGGCTTTCTTGAATGCTGTCTGAATCCATTAATTTTTTCAGTGTCATTTACGTCAGCTTATCTAATTCACAATCGGACTTCTGCCCTTACTGTGAAGCGGCATACTCAGTGGCTAGGTAAATCTTAGCCTATTTTATTAAGTACCCTAAGTAAGCTTTATTTTTACGCCAATAACACTCACAATGATTGAATGAAAAAATAATTATTGCTAACCTATCCTAACCTAATATCAGTGGTGAAAAACAGTTTAATTCCAAAACAAATGTTCCAAAGAACAACTACACAGGGAAATTCTTTTATTTCAATACTGTCTAAATATTAAAAAAAAAAACTAACAATTTTTTAAGTATAAACATTTGTTATCTTTTAAACCAACTATAATTGCAATGACCAATGTTTTGTAAATAAAAAAAATATACAACCCCTGTCTACAATAGATTTTGTAATTTCACTTACCTTTTGGCAACATAGTACAGTAAGTATAATAAGAAACAAAACACAGACCTACATTTAGGACAAGGTAGAAAGCAGTAAACAGCAACAAATTGTAAGGATTAAATAAACAACAAACACTACATAACCATTTAAGATGGTTGTATATGCATTTAAAAATACACAGTAATGGATATCTAACATACATAGGCACTATAACCTTTGCAGTAGTTAGCAAAGGTGGCATGGGTAAAATCATGAATTGTACAGGTCAATTGTAAATGATTTAACTACATAGAAAATTACAATAGCTCATTTTTAATGACACACAGAAGAAGAATATTTTATTGAACAGATCCATTCATACAGACAAGTACACAACCAGCTAACATACAAGCCGAAAATTGTATTACACTTAACATAATATTTATGATGAGTGTGCACAAAACATATTATTTATAATAGAGCAATCAAATTTAACTTTGTTACATAAAATATTTGACCACACAAAGAGTCATCGCTATCTTGGAAAATTTCAATTAATTATATGTACTCACAAAAAGTAAACCTTAGTTGAAAACTTAATAAGTACATTTTGCTCCTTTAGTTTGGATCTGTTTGATTTGGACAACAAACTGTGCATGACTAACACAAACCCACAATCACTGCCGCTTTGTCCATAGCTACTTAAGTAATGTTGTACATCCTACTTAAGTATCCATTCATTTATGTACCAAAACCTCATGGTTGAAGTACCGGTATTGATTAGTTTGGACAAGGGTCCGGTCCTAAGTATGCCTGATAAAAACAAAATCCAGGGTAAAAAGTGTATGCAGTTGTTACAAAATTGATTTTTCATTGATGGCAATAGTCAATGAATATTCCTTGCTTAAACGCAGGAGCTTAGCCGGAACGCATTAAACGTGTATAGTTACTATCTGTACACAAATGATGAAGGAATTTTCTAAACTAGCAGGGGTTTTCATTAGAAAACATGTTAAAAACCGTGTAACTAATTTGACGAAATCTTTAACCACTTTTGTCAACAGTTCTGTGCACACTCTGTTAGTTAACAACGATACAAGGGCCAAAGCACAGTAAGCAGCCGGGGAAATACATCAAGGGGCGAAGACTAACTACCTTGAGTTGGTTCTCCTTGTGTTGTAACTCCTGCTCCAGCTTCTCGTTGAGGTCGTGCAGGGACGTCGACTCTCTCTGGGCGTTCAGGTACCTCTTTTCCAGCGTCGCTATCCTTTCCTCCTGTAATCACCAGTCGCTTTAGTGCAAAGTTTCTCAATTTATATCATAACAATAGGTTTAAATAAATAAAAGAACTTAACCAACAAAATCTGAGATTAATTATTTTCATTTACCCTAACTAATAAAAAAATACGTTGAAGCAACCTCTGACACATCCAGGATTTTATAGGATGCAGATTTATAATTGGTACCCTACCTCGTAGCTTTAAGTAGGGCATTTCCCTAAATTTTGATCTTTAGGTATATGGTCGCAATAGATGATGAATTCTAGCTGACAACTAGTAGGATATACCGCTATACTGATACACTCTGATTGAAATGATATGCAAAAAGAATTTTAATACTTCACTTTTTAATCCGATATTTGATTGAAATCTCTCTATAAACAAATGTTAGCAAATTATAAATGAAAGGAGCAACAGTTTTTATACATTAAATGACATGCATATAACCATTTACTTTTGGATAGTAAAGTTCTATAAATTGTCAAACAATTCGTTGTCTTCTAGATTGTAAGAAAATAAAACTTCACTTGGTAAATGTCAAGGTCTTAATTGGATTTTTCATTTTGTGCTTAAACACACCAGAGAGTAGTCAGCTATTTGTTTTTTGTTTGTTTTTTTAGGGAATAGTCTAAACCCTTATTGTGCTGTAGACGAATATACTCGCCAAAATTCCCTTTGCTCAAAACAGTATGGATGACTATACACGGCTTTTAATACAGAGTGCGACAGTGCATTGGCTGGTCTTGGTAGTTCCCAGTTTTGCCAATAGAGTGCTGCAGCTATTGGGGAATGTCTTTCGTGATGGAAAATCACAATAGCAACGTTCCCCGCCCTTTGATTGTTAAAAATGGCGGTGTGCTACACTTGCTGGTCTCAGCTATGAGAGACGCCATCGCTGTAGACAGACTAACTCGCATAATCCGCAGGAAACTTCTCGGTGTTCATTATTATTTTGGTTTTATTGTTTTTATATTATATAAAAAAATCAGCTTTGACTTTTGGGAAAAAAATTTTTTTAGGTGTATGTAGCAAGACCAAGACCATCCAACTTATATGTGTATGTGTGTGCGCGGTAAGGGTTACATTTCTGGTTTAGTTTGCTATGTGTACCTGTTTTTGCACAATTTAATAGTGTTCTCATACATGACTAATGGATAACTGGTCAATAATCATAATCAAACTGGTAACATTGGGATTGTAGAACAAGCACTCTAACCATTTCACTTCCCCGTGATTGTTCGTGTCGTGTGTGTTTAAAACAGTGGTTTTAAAAATAACCAACCTTAGTGAAATAATGCAGTTTTAGTTTTGAGACATGAAATTTAATGATCAAAACATTCCTTATAGCTAGCTCAATCTAAAGATTCCAAAGTAAGCTTTTTAAATAAGAAATTTCTACATGACTTGTTTCTTACTTACGAACAGACAATTCTTTTACATACTTGAAAAGCAAAAAATGAAATTTGTATGTAGTATTCCATACTTTTTGGAAAACGATCATTGACTTTTGTATAACATAAGGTAGAACTTAGCTACGTACCTGATCTTCTTTTTGGGCAACATTTTCTCTCAAATCCCTCTGCAGTTTTGAATTAGTTTCCTGTGCCTTTATCATCTCTTTCTGTGCTTTTGACAGATTTTCTTCTAGCTCAGACACGCGTGATGTCATTTCCGATACTCTTCTTTGCCATGTGCTTAATTCTGTACTCTGTAAAATAAAAAATAAACATATGTGGTAAAAAAATTCTGATTAGCAAGATAACCGTCTTTTGTAAAGGCAAGATGATTCCTATTTTCAAACGTGAAAGGTGAATCAAAACATGCGAAAGTGAAGTGCAAAAAGAACAATGGATGAACACAGTAAAAAAGAAAAAAAAATTGTCTTCTGAAACATAACATGAGGCACATTGTTCAAGGAGTCTTCTATAGTTCGGCCGCTTAGAAAGCGACCTCCTCTAGCATTGGATTAGCATTAGCACGCAGGTCGTTTTCTATGCAGCCGAACTATAGTTCTAATGCCTTACTTTGTACATTAAAGCTCTGAAATAACAATCAATTTTTGATGCAAAGTAAAATTTACACTTCTGTTAAGATTACATCACTCAGTTTACTTTAACTTTGTTCAGAATGTAAAATTTATCTAAAAAAATTATTATACACTATTAAGTTGATATTTTACATACTAATATAATAAGGTGTAAAATTGAGCAATTAATCAATCATCTTGGTGTCGAGGCAGTTTTCTTCAGTTTAAATTTATAGTTTCTTGCTTATCACTTTACTGTAAGTTAGTGGTTTTCACTGTTCAATTTATTGTGATTACATATGAAAAATAAATAACAAATTTGAACTAGGGTACTTTTTAAGTAGAGGATCATAGTTTTGTTTGGGAGGAAAATCTAGAATTCTTTTCACTAAATACACCAATATAAGAGGATCTAGAGGTATGGGAATAGAAGTTAGCTATATTGTTAATGAAATGTTTTTCATATGTTCACATGAACTTATGCAAAAGGAAATCTTGCAAAAAATAATTTCAATGTGAGAAAATATTGAAATATAAATCCATGGAAAGATGGGGGACAGGTTGTTAAGATGGTACCTACATGTAATCTTTGTAAATATTTATATTTCAATTTTGTTTTGCTACGTTAATTACAACAATCAAACATTGATTAATTCCGCCTGTAATTAAACATGACAATTTCAACTCACAGTAGAGTCCCACTATTCCAACTCCCGCTATTTGGAAAACCTACCTACTTCAAACTTAAGTTCGGAAATTATTATTATATATATAGATGTTAGTACCCATCAAGAAATTAAGAGCAGCTTCCCTGTTTGTGGCAAAATCGGAAAGATGTTCTATGGTTACAGCAAAATGGAAAACGTTTCCTGCGGTCGCTGAGACATCATCGTCTCCTGCCATAGGGGCCAAATTTTGAGCAAACATCACAAAAACTAAAGTAGGACATGGTCACAGCGAAATCATAAACAGGTTCTATGGTCGCAGAGGCAACACCATCAACTTTCGTGATCACAAAAAAACTTTGCACATCATCCACAATTTTCATAAATTATTAAGTTATTACAGAAATCAGCTTATTCCGAATTACTGTTTATCCAATATTACATGTTTGAACAATAAAAAAAAAACATCTTCAAATTTTATCTGTAGGACATTTGCTATAGCCTGGAAACAATGTAGCATTTTTAAGTTGTGTATTGCAAAATGCTAAAAATGCAACCACAGCTTAAACTTCATAATGTAGTTGTTTTTCTAAACCACGTTAGCTAATCAATAAAAGGTTACAGTACCTGCAGACTGCCTTGTGGGTTTTGTTAATCCAGTAGGATTGCGTACGTTTCGGCAAATATATTGCCATCATCAGATCCAGAACTTGAAGGTTAAAATCTTGATTTTTCGACACACATTGTCACGTCAAAGTTTAAAATAGAACACATACACAAAACGAACATTAAATACATGTAGGCCTACTATTAAAAAACCGAACAGGATATAATATGATGCAAGCATCTCTCTTGCCGAGTCTCGACTGGTGGTCGTCAGGTCCTGTGAACTGGACTGGTAATTATCGATACAGCCCTGCCATTATCGATAATTTAATAAAAAAACAACTTAATAATATGTCAAAAACAAACATTGCTAACAGGAAAAATTCCGATTATGTCCCAGTCGAATACGGCAGCTCATTTCCTATGTCTCTCAAACATGAAATAAAAAAAACATGGTAAAGTATTAGCATTTAGGACAAGCAATAAATTAGGGAAAATGTTAAACACTAGTAAAAATGTTAAGGAATTACAAGAGAAAACCGGAATTTATCAAGTTTCATGTAATGACTGCGATAAAATTTACATAGGTCAAACAGGGCGATCCTTTGGAAAAAGGTTTAAAGAACATCTTCCCAGAGCTACTAAGTCACAAAAGTCAAATTTTGCAGAACATCTTGTGAACGAAAATCATAATTACACTGATTTAGGTAACAATTTAAAAGCGTTGCATATCTGCTGTAAAGGAACAACTATGACAACTCTGGAAAATTACAAAATTTATAAGGCCACAAAAACCCGCCCTCAGGACCTACTCAATTGTTAGAAGTCGTGTAAAATAAAGAACTTTTACAAAATATTATCTAATAAAGAACTGATTTTATTCTGATAAATAACAATATTTAAAACATTTTCTCTGTATTGTTCTGTTCTTCATCACTTTAAATTCTTACTACAACTCTTCTCTATTGTTTAAATCAATTAAAATAAAACATAATATGTTAATTAAAACCAAAGCCTAACAAATAATTATATTTGATGTTGGTCAATCTTGAATCTGTACTATATCAAAATAACTCGATTTCCAACATCCTCCCCACCTTGGAATTTTGTTTTACATGATCAAAATTTCAAACAAAACTATTTACATATTTCTTTTAAGTTCACATGTTCATTTTCCAAGGGATTTTTATCTTCCTTCTTCTTGATTCTGTTGGTGTGTTGATGAATTATCTTTTGTTTCAATATGTACATCCTGTTTCCTTGACTTGTCTTTTGAATTTATTTTCATGGAGTCAAGAAGATGACTTCTCTTCCTTTTTCAATATATACAAGCACTGCATGATACCTTTTCTTAAATCTTGATCTCTTTGATGATGTTTTCATCCTTCTCACATGTTGTTTCCATATTATACCTCCCCACCATGGGGTACTCGGAGGACAGAACTTCCAAATTATTTTATGGATTTCAAATTTCTCTTTTGTGGTTTTCCAATTCAACTGCTTTCTGAATTTTATTACACGAGATGGAATTAAATTTACCAAATTTGGACCTAGAGAAAAATTAGCTCTTTTGTTCTTTGTAGGCGCATCAAACACTGGGCGTATTTTTGTAGTGAAGCTACTGTCTTTTATCACTGGGTGATGCAGCAATTGATGAACCGTTGTCGCCTCTGCTGGTTCTGAAACATTTTGTATCATGCCTTCTTTCAACTGTTCTTGGCAGACCTTATCACAATAACTCAATTCGTTTGGTGTATTTAATCTTCTGCTCGATGAAAAACAAACTTCATATCGGTTTTCAATGTTCACCGCTACGTTTTCCTTAAAATGTTGAAACACTTTCGAATCAAATGAGTCTCTCTGTTTCACCCCAATAGGATCCCTTATTCTGATTGTCTCCCAGCTACCTAAATCTCTGGATTCTGGTTTACCCTGGCAAAATAAAGTTAGAAGAGACGTTTTACAACTTCCTCTGCATAGCTGCTTCCCCATCACGGTCCACCCAAGGTACGTTTCAATAGCGACTAGTTTGTCATCGATCTTCTGCATAGTTCCTGTGTACAAATCCACTAGTACATCTGCACCAAGTAAAATTTTAACATCTGGTACATTTTCACCCACATCAGTTAAAATTATGCTCTTTTCTTTCAAGATGTCAAAATACTCCTCACTCTTAAGCCTAGGTACATGGTTGCAAATTGTTTCTTGGTCTGTCACAGGAATAGAGATCTTGAAAGAATTATTTACATTTTGAAGAGTAACAAGGTAATTTTTGTGAGATTTTTGTTTTAGATTTACGCCACCAAACAAACTATGATTTATGACTTCACTACCTGTTTCTTGTAGACCTAATTTAGTGACACAGTCCTTAGTAATGTAGGATCTCTGTGAACCTGGATCTAAAAGTACTCTTCCCAAATACTCTTTACCTTTCTCATCTGCAACCTTAACTAGTAGAGTCTGTAATAGAGTTTCTCCTGTACCGTTTCCAAAATTACTGAGAACCTCTGACTTAGGCTTAGTTATACTTTGCTGCAGTAAGTCTGGCTTGTCAACATTAATTTTAGATCGAGGCCTACTTTCATATAAGTCCCTACACATGATTCCATAATGCCTTTTACAACAGAAGAGACATTTGACAAATACCTTGCACTTTTTTGCTGAGTGACCTTGCTTCAAGCACACAAAGCAGCAATTTTTCTTTTTCAGATGCTCCTTTCTTCCATCTAAAGTTAATTTTTGAAAATAGGAACAATCTTGAGCATTGTGCCCTCCTTTAGAACAATAAGTACAGTTACTCACGAACCTTCTAGGACCCTCTGTACCAGATGTCAATAGAGCTGCTACCGTAGGTTCATTCTGACGAGTTTCATGTACAGTTGACATTTTCTTTTGGCTGCTGCATTTGCTGTTGTTGTCTCCTGGAGTGGCAGATTTAAAACTCGAACGAGCAAGCGCCAGCCTCTCTTCACTCTCCACCTCAGCCTTTAGAAAATCAAGAAGTTCTTCTAGAAAATTACTAGAAATTACTAGATCTGACGATGTAGAAGTTGAGGGTGTGTGTAACCTACTTGAACGATGCCGCTCCCAGGCTCGTAATATTTCTTCGGGTAAAGCAGATTCTACAAGAGGATACAGCATTGAAGCATAATTGTCTGAAGTGACTCCTAAAGTTTCAAGTGCCCTTAACTGTGTTTCTAGTTTGTCATACAGTCGGCACAGTTTAGTATTAGGACCTAGCGTTACTTGTTGGAGCACTAAACTGAGCAGTTCCCTCACGTATACTTCTATTAAAAAGTCATCCCTACCAAATCTTGCTTTTAATTGTTCTAGGGCCTTTACATAATTAGTTCCCGATAGGGGAAAACTTTCTACTAATTCCCTAGGGGACGATCCTGGTTTTAAGGATTGGATGAGGTATTGGAACTTATCCTCAGGTTCTAGATCAGGATCCTCATGGACCTTCTTAAACTGCCCCGAAAACCCTATCCAATTTTTTACATCTCCATCAAACTGGTTTAATTGTAATTTAGGTAGACTTAAGCCCTTCTTAGATACTAATTTAAGACTGTGAACGGTATACCCGACTTCACTTCTTGACTGTTGGCTTAGGCCAACCTGAATAATGAAATGGTCATACTTAGCTCTCATTGAAGATAACATGTCTCTGTAAGATTCTGTAGTATCAAACTCAGCTTCTAAGTCCTCTTCTTTTGTTGCAGGATCTTCAAACAAGGCTTCCTTGATGTCTTCATCTAGCTTAAAAAGCCTTTCAGCTTTATCTTGCAACTTGTTTAGATTACTTTTAATTGTTACTTCATCTTTAATATCTTCAGCCAGTAATTTCTCCATTTCATTTCTGCACTTTGTAAAAGTTCTTCTTAGTTGAGTCCTTTCAGTCTTTAATGACCTCAGCTTATCCATTGTATTATAAGTAAAATATAAGCTTGGTCCTACTCTGAATTTTAACTTTAAAAAGTCCTGTCACGGTCGCCACTATGTTAGAACTCGTGTAAAATAAAGAACTTTTACAATTATTAAATAATAAAGAACTGATTTTATTCTGATAAATAACAATATTTAAAACATTTTCTCTGTATTGTTCTGTTCTTCATCACTTTTAATTCTTACTACAACTCTTCTCTATTGTTTAAATCAATTAAAATAAAACATAATATGTTAATTAAAACCAAAGCCTAACAAATAATTATACTTGATGTTGGTCAATCTTGAATCTGTACTATATCAAAATAACTCGATTTCCAACACAATGATAAAAGTACACTTCCATCAAATTTATTATTTGAAACTTTAATACAACTGGACAGAGACCGACACTTATGATACAGGATGCCTTGGGGTCAGAGTCCAGTTCACAGGACCTGACGACCACCAGTCGAGACTCGGCAAGAGAGATGCTTGCATCATATTATATCCTGTTCGGTTTTTTAATAGTAGGCCTACATGTATTTAATGTTCGTTTTGTGTATGTGTTCTATTTTAAACTTTGACGTGACCATGTGTATCGAAAAATCAAGATTTTAACCTTAAAGTTCAGGATCTGATGATGGCAATATATTTGCCGAAACGTACGTAATCCTACTGGATTAACAAAACCCACAAGGCAGTCTGCAGGTACTGTAACCTTTTATTGACACAGCTTAAACCCTGAGGTGACCGTAAATATCTGAGTCCACCTAACATGTTATAAGCTGCAAGCCAGCGAGTAAAATTAGGGAAGTTGGATGTCGGTGAGTGCTTTTTTAGTAGCTATCGAGAGAGTGTAGTGAGTTGAGGTAAGTATACTGGACTAGTTTACGAACTGCATATTAAAAAACAGCTTGTCGCTTGTAAAAACACCCCATGTACACCCCTTAGGAAACGTAAAGCAATCTAAATTTTTCAACAACTACTCTCATAACAAATAACTATCTACATTTCGACAACTTTTCTTAAAATGAATAATTATTCACAAGACAATTCTACGAGCCAAGCAAAGCGAGTGAGGTTCTGACCTGTTTGTCGACGGTGTTCTGCAGCTCGATCACTCTCGCCACCTCCGAGTCCGGCTCGATAGCTCCGTTGCTCAGTCTCTGTACATCAACACAACGATGACATGCTGGTCGGGGAGCCAAGCGGAACATGAGTCATGCCACACATGCACACACACTCACACACACTTGTCGCAGTGGGGAGACGGCTCAGTAAATACTTTTGTAACAAATTAATTGTTCAAGGGTTGATATTAAGAACATTTTTCAGACCAACCTTCATCAAGTATGTAACAGAGAAAATAGTTGCCTTTACAACATTGGAAGTGAGTAGTTCTATCTAGATTTGTAGTGGATTAAAAAAACTAATCACTTCAACTTCATTACACCAATCTTCACCTGTCAGGTAATGGTTGGCTATACTGTATTTACAAAAGTCAGGAAATCGATTACAATTGTTTATTGTTCGGGAAGCAGGCCAAGACAGTCATGGCATAGTACACAGTCCAGTTATTGCTAACAGACAAAAAAAGGTGATGGTTGGTAATTATCTGTTAGGTAACCGTGAAATAATCTTGCTAATGGTGTGTTTACAGATCTTCATCAACAGAGTAAAATAAGTTTTTTTTTTTAATGCATGGACACGGAAAAATTTTTGAGATTGTTTACAATTAAAAATTTGGGGAGCAAGTCTCTTCACAATGTCTCTTCACAAAATAAGATAGAAGGTGATTTTTCATTACATTGCTACCTCTCTATATTTTGTTTTATAACAAGCTTTTCATTGCTTCTATTATTTCAAATTCGTCTAAAAAAATAATGAGTCACTAATACAAAATATTTTACACTAGAATCATAAAGTTTGAAAACATTTTTAGTTCTCCGAATCATAAATATACAATTGTTGTTAAATCCTTAATTTTTTGCTATTCAAACCAAAAAGACTTTACATTGACTAAACGAGCGAGAGAGAACATTCAGTAGGTTGGTCTATAAAGGTGGTTGGAGCAACAATTTGCTGAGGATCACATTACACTAGCGACACATCCACCACCACATACATACATCTCTGTCAACCTATCTCTGCAGCTCTGCGACTGATTGTAGCCAACAAACTACGATAACAAAAGTGGAAACTAGCACAACGTAATTGTTTGAATAGTTAAAGTTATTGATATATAATTTTATTTTGGTAAAATGGACATTGAACATTTGAAGTAACTAAAATTGTGTGTACATCAAGGAAGAGGAAATTGATTCTTGACTAATTCACCTAAGAGTTTCAAGCAGTTGATGGTATACAAAGGTTCAAAATACAGTTAACTCGACATTTTGCTTCTCTAAAGCACTTTATTGAAAAGAAAGTAGTGTAGAATAGTCTAGAGTGCTACTTTCTTCTGAAGAAGCCCCCTAGGAGAGGCGAAAAATCTAGATAATTGTGTTGAGAGCTTTCTGTGTGCTATCAACTGTCCAAAATATTTTCTCTATCAGTACCGAAATACAAGTTGTGTCAATTGATTATTAATTGTTTCTTCCTCAATGTATTTCTTAGCTAAGAGTTTTTTTCTTTCAAAAGGCAAAACAAAATTTTATAAAGTGTTTTTACAAAACTAAATACTTAACAAATCATTTTGAAAGGTAAGAAATAAAAATATAACAAAAACCATATTTTGGGTCAAGAAAACTTAATGGAATGATAAACAAATAACATACTTTTAAGGAGAGCACAAAACATTTTAAAAAGTTTGTATTCCAAGACTAAAGACTAAAGAAAGACTGTCCCAAAGAGGATAAACACAGTGTGTCAATGGCATTATTTTTTTACAATGTCCACAACAGATTTCATAAAAGAATAAGTTAAAAACAAGGCTTCACTCTATTACAAAATATAACTGTGACAAACACATTTTTTAAATAACCAGTTTTAGTAAAACTAACTATTTATAAAGTTGCAAAATGTGTTTTTATGGTACAGACAGAAATAAAAAAAAAAAAGACAAGTAAAGTAAAAAAAAATAAGCTGAAGATTTAGTAACTGTTTGATTTAAATAGTAGTTTTCATCACTAGGAGCAAAAGTGGCTCTTTTTGGTATGCAATCAAGTTTTACAAGTGAGGCGCAGCCGAGCTTGGAAATACGCTTAAGTACCAAAAAGAGCCACTTTCACTCCTAGTGATGAAAACTACTATTTAAATCAAACAGTTTTGCTCCGTGTGATGAACAAATATTTTCATCATACTGTGGAAATAACCTTCTAATCATTACAAAATTAGAACACATAATTTGACGTTATACAAAGTCGTCAAACATAACGAATGTTCACAAATTTAACTCGAAATATAGTTTGATTAGCAGCGTTTTTATAATGCACATATAAAATTTTGAGGTTAGCGAACCGAAAGATTTACCACATGTTTTTCTGTTCCCTATTTGAGGTTACCCAAAAACTATGATTTTGCAGACGATTTAGAGAACTAAAAACGGCTGCTTTCCAGACAATATGATGAAAACCAAATTTTATGTTGTAAAAATTAAAAAATATAAATAAAATAAATATTTGGAAAATACTTGGAATATTTTTTAAAATAATCAAAGAACAATTTCATTGAAAGAGTACTAATTTCAAATAATAGTTAGGTAGTACAGATTGGGTTTACGAAATATCATTAATTTCTATTCAACACAAACATTGGAAAAAGGTTTTGACAAAACTAACCTTAATGATAGTAGGGTGAGGGCCGTCGTTGGCTGGTTTCTCTTCTTGGGCTCCATTTTCTTTAGGTTTTCCATCCTCTGTACTTGTTGTTATTCTTCCTAATTTGTACTGTTGTAACTGCAGAAATCAAATTTGGTTAGTAAAAAGTGAAGTCTAACAAGTGGAATCAGTGACATAACTCCTTTATAGAATTTCCAAAGCTTACTGATTTTGTGGATGTCAGAGTAGAGCTAGAATTATTTTGAATAAAATAAATTTTGTTAGAACTAACTAACCAGACACATTATTAAACTCAATTATTGTAATAAAATTATCAAAATTGCGATTGAAAATAAGAAATACACAATTTATATTTCTTTAACTCTGACTGTAATATCAAAAAGCTAAATCCTACTCAAAAGTTGAAATCTATATATTTTGACAAAATATACAAAGCAAAAATTTTAATTGCTAGCCAAAAGTTGTTCTGCAATATAAAAGAAACTAAAATGCATAATTAAATCCAAACAATATACAATACTCATGATTAGTCATTGTACTGCCTTAGTTAGGTTAGTGCAAAGAAACTGTAAATTTTAGTACCTATAAAAAAACAAGAATTCTAACACCTTAAAACACAAATATTTCAATAAAAATTTTTCCAAAAGCTAATCTAACACTATTTATAAATTAAAAATTATTGGACTTACTTCGTCTTTGGTAGATGCTAACTCCTCCTCTAATGTAGTATTTCTTTCTAAGGCAACTCTTAACCTTTCCCTGACCTGAAAAATAAAATTACAATAATAGTCTACATATTGATTCTTCTTATTTTATTAGTGTTATTCCCAGTTTTTGATGTAAGTACAAGTACATTTTCACGCCCTCCAATTTACATACACAAAAAAATTCCTTTTTTGATCATATAAAGATTCCCTAAATATTATAATTTTATCTCTATTAATAAAAAAATAACAGGGGGTGGGACTTTTTGGACACATGGTATCTAGCAATACATTTCATAAAATATTTTCAAGTGCAATAACATAATTCAACCTCACGTTGCTTCTGGCCTATACCTTGATATTTCGCTCAAGGGCTGCAAATAGCTTTAAAAGTTACCATTTTCTCTCTTACGAGTGTATCACTAAGCAAGTTTAACTCCCTCGATAGTTAAACTTGTTTAGTAATATACAAATCCTAAAAGAAAATCAACCAAAATTACAATGTTGAGATTATTTTTTTCATTGATGTAGAAATTACATTAGGTATACAAAACCTAGACACATTAGAAATTGGAAAATCAGACTTGATGTAGTTTTAATTTGAAGACAGCCGAAAACACGAAACTGAAGGTCAAAAGAAACATTGTTAGTGTCATTCCAAGCTAACCCAATAACACCAAGTGCCTGGGATGAAGCTCTTATTGAGTTAGACTCACATTGAGTAGTAACGAATGTAGCTCCCAGCCCGAACACCAAATTGCAACTGTTATCTGCACGTTGTATTTTATTTGTATTCTTGAATAAAATACAACTTTGGTCTAATTGAGTATGTATCTAAAGATTTCGCATTAGGTAGATTGTTTTCACTGACATACCGGTACGCAGAAAATAGACCATAAAACATAGGCCTACTTCCAACCAATAAGGATCAACTGTTCTAATTTTTGTAAATCAAGTTCAGGTAGTACCTTGATAGTGTGCTGAATTTATGTTCATTAACATTTATTAGGTACACTTTTGACCACTAATCAATCGAAAGGTAAATTTGAATGTATAATTTTATTGCAAACTTTGACAACATAAACAATAAATACACCTGTAATATCTGTTTCAACATAAGAAAGGAAGGCCAAAGAGAGAATATTCTAAAAGAGAACATATTAAGCAAAATCTTAACACAAAACAACAGGTTTAGATATTGCTGCGGAAGTGGAATGTCTCCACACATATTGTTCTTTAGTCAATTCCACTCAATTAAACAAAACATGAATAAAAAAAAACATATTTCTAACATGCTTGCAAGTTTTTTTCGTAGCTGATATATTCAAATTCCTGTGATCAAAATATAACTTTCAGACAAAAATCTAGATGTATTGGTAAGTATTTTAAGTTTACATTACATTTTATAAACTAACGACAAATTATCTCAAAAGATTGACTCTAATGAAAAGCAAATAATTTCTATCTTTTGTTTTTTTTCTACTTTAAGATGATAACTTGAAGAAAATAAATTTATCACAAACTTCAACTGGAACATTGCCATCCAGTTTGCCAAAACCAGCTAGATATCAATTCATCCGTGGTAAATTATAGCTTCAACAGGAATTTCCCCATTGAAGCTCCTGTAAGTATCGCGAGGTGTAAATCGTTGATATAAAACTCTATTAAATTAGCCACACTCTAAACAACTTTTCAAAAGTATAAAAGTTTTCTTTCAAGAGGACCTTTATTTTCGTCCGATTAAAGTACAGTAAACCTTAATCATGCACAACTAATAAACTATGTAAAACTATGTAGCTAATGTGTATATATTTTAGCTCATCACTACTGTTTGTGTTATTAAAATTAAAGCTTTTTCTCTAAAAAAAAAATTCAACATGGTCCCAGGATATCACTGCCCTTTTTATATTAAGATGACTTAATTTCATCAAAATGAAATGAAAGCCCGATTAGTCTGGTATAATGAGGATACCTAAACAATGAAGTTATTATATTTATCAGTTTATAAATAATGTCGGAAAAATAAGAAAACAAAAATTGAAACGCTTGTGTTGTTATTGAGAATACAAAATACATTATCGGAATGAGCTGACAGTACATGATGTGAAGGAAGGTGTACAAAGCATTAATGGGCCCCTCGATGCAAAAGCCAAATGATAATAGATCATTTGCATGCATTTCATAATATGTTTGTCATCATCTGGCATTTGGTGATAAATAGAAATCAATTTCACCAATGTCCAACGAATTTCCATTATGAATCATTATTAGTGAATTTTCATAAAGACACATTGTTTTATTTTTTTGATGCAATTTACTGCATTTACAGCTAGAAGTTGAATATTAATTTATTTGAGTTAAACGTTAAGAATTTTTAATAACAAAATTTGTAATTCAATGATTACCTAACCATAGTAAATTTTAAAACTTTCAATAGTATTCATATTTTCTTAATAATTAGAAGACCTGATAGTATAGTTAGAATCAGCAAAAACCAATTGGATGTGATGCCCGCTGCCGTCACTGCTACCGCCTGCAAAATTGGTTCTCAGTGTTATCATTTTTCCTACGCAGGTGGCATTTTATAAGAGGTCAACGTGAGAATAAGTTTTTGTGATTGTGCCGGAAATTAAACCCATGCCACCCACACCGAATTCTGAGAAATTTTAAACCACTATGTTGTTGTTTTGTGGCTAGCAACAAATCCAATTGGTTTGTGCTACTGTACTCCTAAATATGATATCACGTTCTCTTATTATTAAGAAAATATAAATACTATTCAAATATTGAAAGTTTAAAAATTTAATATGGTAGGTAACCATTGTATTACAAATTCTGTTATTAGGAATCCTAACAACTAACTCAGGTAAATTAATATACAACTAGGCTACCTTTCAAGCGACTATTGATAAAACTTCTTTGATACTATTCTTTATTTGAGTGATTTGATTTTGTATTAAAATAATAAGAAGAATGTGGCCAAACGTTAAACACCAGCATCGGACGCTGCCGTATATGGCTGAAAGCGTCCATCGTCTGCCAATCTTCCCTACTTTTCACAACGTACAAAAAAAATAGTCCAACTCGAACGATCCCAAGTTTTAGGTTAGCGTTTGTAATTAGTCGTATCGTTCGCCACAAGTGTATTGACTACAATGAATTTGGTTGAACGATTTGCAATAACAATTATTATGGGGTATAAGATTTGGGGGGGGGGGGGGAATTAGACCCCCATGCGCCCTGGCGATCAAGAAAATACTTTAACATTTTACTTCACCTTGGTTACAACAAAACATAGCCTAAAGAGATAACTTTTGATCAAAGAATCATAAATGAGTTACCTAGCAACAAAATTCATATTTGAAATGAACTTCAAACAAGTCACAAGCTCTCTGTATCGTGAGTAATATAATAAGAAATTGAAGAGTGAAACTGTAAATTAGAAACATGTAGATAATTTTATCATAGGCCTATCCTTAGCTTTGTATGAATTAATTATGAGGTGTAGATTTTTTTGGACATGATTAACAGTATCAAACATATTTATAGCTTAGTTTTGCTAATTTAAGCTCATCCCATTTCTATGACAGTAGTTTGATTAGCATAAAAGTTTGATTTTAAATGTTTTCTTTCTGATTGGGATAGGAAATCCTAAATTATTTAAGTTGAAATGTAATTTTAAAAAAATGTACAAAACGTCAAATTGATTTACAAGGAAGAACAATTACCTTATGGTCCATTTTAGGTTTATTATTGATCACTATTGGTTGTTTCATAACTTCATAGTTCCAAGCTCTAAAAATCACCACACTTGCAACACGAACTTGTTTCAAAATTACATGAAGGAATGTACCACATGATGATAGCACTGCATTTCATCAACACTCCAATCAATAAATGTTGAAAACTATATATAAGTAAGTTCTGAAAATGTTTTTTATATATCGAATCAAAAATATTGAGTTTGAAATAGTTTATACACTTCGTTGTCAATAGCTAAATAATGTTGATTTATTTTGGAAAACCATATGTTTTATTTGTTGTTTGTTTACATAAAAAAAAAAAATACTTTAGACTTTTATTGGCAGATTTTATTTTGAATGGACAGCTGTAGATTTAACCATAGATTAAACATACTCCAACCTTCAGTATCCAATAGTCAATAATTTAGCTGAGATCCGATGACAAATGTTTTAAACTTCTTTAACCAAATTTTAAACTTCTTTAATATGGATTTATATATTTGCAAAATGAAAATTATGTTGAATTAAATTAACACAATGTTACAAGTTTTTTATACTTTCTAACTAATTTTTAAGTAGCGCAGTGTTTCTGATGAAAGAAAACAGCAATAAGACCAAGGTAAGTCTGTTTAATTATTTATAGGCCAATTTTATGATGTAAACATTTTTAGAAGGTACCTATTATTACTTCATTTTTTAAAGCTAATGTGCCTAACTTAAAGTAACAATTTTATGAATAATTTAACAGCTGGTTGAAGTGTAAATGTTATAATTAGGGTGGTCCTCCGTTTTTGTATATGATTAAATACTTTTTTCACAAGCAATAACGAAATTAAAAGAGGCAAGCTTTGAAAAATAATCAAGAAATAAACCAAACATTGCCAGTAAATGTTGGTTATGAGGGTTAACCTTACAAGATAATGGTAGTCAGAGTTTAAATAACTGCAAACACAGATAACAATTTAAACTAACTTTAAACTATTTGGATTAAAATATGCGCATAGGTGGTATCCCCATCTCAACAATTAATAACACAAGATTACACACATCAAGATGTATTCAAATAACGCAGGGGTATATTTAATGGAGAATGTTGTATCTAGGATCCCTATTGTAAGAAAATATTTTTAAATCTGATATTTTTTTGAAAATAAAAAAAATATTAAGTATACAATATTACTGCTTTTGGTTGTTCAATGGCATGAAATCCTATGAAGGAGCAGTAAAAAGAGGGATCATGTAAATAACAATATTTCTCACACATGTTTCAGTTCTGGTACGTCAAATATTACAATTCAACCTATCAACAACATATTT